GAAACAGTGGAGATGCATGGAGGAGGCCTTTGCTCAAATTTGGGTACCCAAAATAGAAACAAGTCAGTAATTATATTATTTTAATTGAAAAATATTACATGTATACGAAATACAATTTTTAATTAACTCATTAACGAATTGTTGATTTGATTGTTTATGGTGGATAATTTGATTGCTTATAATATTGAATTATATTGTTTAAGATTTGATCTACATAAATTTATATTAAATATTAAATACACAAATAAATGAACATAAATTAATACTAATATCATACTAATTATTATATATATATTACATAATAAGTTAATACTAATAAGTATGATATCATACTGAATGTCGATTTGTAAGCACATGTTGATAGTTATGAATAGACAAATCAATATACATGTTAATAAATAAATAATGATACTCAATGTTAATTAATAGTATATAAATGTTGATATTAATCGTTGTTGCTAAAATTATGCATGTAAAGTTAAATAATGATTCTATGTATTTTAAGTTTTATTTTGAAATGTTATTTTGGGAATAAATGGCTTTATTATTATTATATTATTATTATTATTATTAGTGTCTTCATCTGTAGACGCAAGCAAGGGCTTCTTTTTTCTCTGCCATAAGGTATGATATGGTATGCTGCTAAGTTTACATAAAATATCAACATTTACATTGTTGTGCCATGATTGACTCTTTAAGCAAAATTTGTATGCAAGATATTGTCTCCTTGTGAAAAGTGGTGGTAAACCAAGTTCTCTTTCCATAACGTGGATTGGGGTGCTTTTAATAAATCCACCGATAAACCGTAAGGCCTGGTTCTGTACTTCATCTAACCTGAGCTGTGGAGCTGTTATCATATAAGAAACTCGCATAGTCAATTCTACCTCGTATCAAAGAAATGTAAAGTCTTCTTAAGTGTTTCTGATGTACCCCCCCTAAGTGGACCCCACTATCAAAGAAATGTAAAGTCTACTTAAGTGTTTCTGATGTACCCCCCCCCCCCCAAGTGGACCCCACTAAAACTTTCAACAAATTTAATGCTTTTGAAGTTCTTTTAATAATTTCGTTGATATATGCTTACTCCAATAGAGACCTTGATCTAACCACATACCTAGTTATTTAATGCATTTTGATCTTGGCACGGAATATTTTCCACAGTTTACAGTAATATTAGGTACTATTCATCATGACTTTCTTAATTTGATGACATATTTTGTACGTTACTCTATTAAATAACAGTGGTGAAATAGGATCACCTTTTTTTTTTTTTTTAAGTGTGGAAATCCCCTCGGACCGTCACCCCACCGGGGTTTGCGTCGGGGTGGTGTGTCGGACTCGGACCGACCACACGGTGTGCGACTCTGCGCCTGTAATAGGAGGGATCCGGGAACAGCTGTTATCAAGACATCCGGACCCCTCCTAGCGCCAGCCCGCTCCTGTTGCGGGCTCCGTCTCAAAATTTTTTCCTCTCTTTAGGCGACGTCCGGCACACGCGGACGCCGCCCCCTCGCGGCTGGCCAAACTAATGCGGGTGGAGGGGAAACCCACCCCGTCCACCCGCGGCCACACTCAGGGCGGCATGAGGCGGTGATAAGCGCGCCTCCGCCGCCCGGTTCGCCGGCGGCGGATCGGGTCCGAGAGTCCGAGGGATAGGATCACCCTTTTATTTTTTATTTTTTTTTACGTGTGAAATCCCCTCGGACCGTCACCCCGCCGGGGCTCTCGTTCGGCGGAGCGGTGTGTCGGACTCGAACCGACTAAAACCACACGGTGTGCCCTCCAAGGGTGTTCCGGCCAAGACGCAAGCCGCCTCGGTGGACACCGTGCGATATCCGCGTATGGCTCTGACCGCCAATATCCTCTGGGGGCGCCAGAGGCGCGCCCTATTCGGGGCGGTCAGAGCCGCCACCCACGAGGGATAGGATCACCCTGTGCTAACCCATTACTCGACCATCTTCTTAAAATTCGTCGACCGTCTTCATCTTTATTTGTGAGATGTCTTTCACTTAGAAAATTCCATAAGTACTTACAGACTTTCTGACCTACTGTAATCTCATCTAAAATTTGTAATAATGCCCAGATAGAAACATTATTATTAGCACTTTCTATATCGAGAAAACACGCAAGGGTTGGTATGTTTTCTAAACAACCTATATGTATTTGCGAAATCAAACGTGCTAGGCTATCTATACTTGATAATGATTTCCTGAAACCCACAGTGTACCATGAGATAATTTAGTTTTGCTCCACCACCACTCTGTACTTTTACTTAACATACAATGATATACTTTACAAATACGTGACATTAGAGATAATGGACGGAGTTTTTGTTCTTCATTTTGGGTTAAAAGATGGTTTCTTTCCACTGATTTGGAATATCCCGAATGAAAAATTTGGTTATACAATTTTAATAGAAATATTTTCGCTTCCTTTGGCAAATTTTCAATCGTGGAGTATGTAATGCTGTCATCAACAGGTGAGGTGTCTTTTGTTTTTAAGCAACGTTCGAGTTCGTTAATATTGAATTCTTTTTCTAAAGGATAATTTTATGACATTGGGTCCTTAATTCAGACTTTGATCAAGAGTAATTGAACAAAACAAATCTATTTGTTTTCAGACTTTGATCAGGAGTAATTGAACATAACAAATCTATTTGTTTTTCGATCGTATATGCCCTTTTATCCAACGCATTTTATTCCACAACTCTAAAGTTAATGTTTCTCCATCCACGGAGTTACGCAAAGTTTCCCAATTTCGACTGCGAGCCCTTGAAATTGCTTTAGTACACTTTTTTGATTGATCTTGAAATATGATTAGGACTTTTCCTAAAATTTCCTAATGCTAATCTGCGACGCGCTACAGCTAGAGATAAGTTGGGGTTCCAGTATGGCTTTGGTTTGAATTTATTTGTCGGATTTCTATTAATTTTAACTAAAGGAATACTAAAATCTGCAGCCTGATTAATTTCTCGAATAAAATACTCATACATTTCTTGTATATTATGCAAATTATACCTAAATATTAATTCATTATTTTTAAATATTATTTTAAGTTTATTTCTATATTTTGTCCAGTCTGCATGCTTAAAATTACATTTTGTAATAATTCCTATGAAAGTTTGGTGATTCAGAGACAACTTAATCATTAGGTGGTCACTACCCATATTTTCCTGAAGGTTTTGCCATATGAAATTTATGCATATGTAGTGTAGATGCAAATTTGATGTCAGGAGAAGTTTGTCTAAATATACCATCCACCAGCTTAATACGTGTAGCAGCCCCATTATTGAGAGACAAAAGTCTATGTTCTAAAGAAGCGTCAAATAATTGAGTTCCTCTGTTGTCTGTTTTGTATGACCAGTTAGTGTGATGACCGTTGAAATCTCCAGCGACTTACAGATTTACTTTTAAATCTTTCGAATATGCCTTCCCAATCTGAAAGTTCTGGACTTGACGATGGACAGTATATTGAAGCAATGTTCTCCAAATTACTGCAGTTGACTAACTTAACGTGTAATATTTCTATACCTGGATTTGGAATATTAACTGAACATACATAGGAATAGATCGATTTGTGTACAACTATGGCTACTCCGCCATAACCATCCTGCCTACTATTTCTATAAATGTTGTATGAATTGATATTAATTATTTGTTCTCTATCTAACCAGGTCTCACAGATTATTGCAATGTGGATTGTTTCAGTGTTTAATAGTTCCCTAAAACTTAACAATTTAGGCCTAATACTCTGAGAGTTCCACTGTAATATATTTATAACCGAATGATATACAAGATTATTATCCATTATAAAAGGCAGATATTTTATGTCATATATTGTCATTGAATGAAAGATATCAAATATTTATTTAACTTCCCCATAAATTGTTTTTAGACATCTAGATCTAGAAATTATTTCTTCATTATTATTTTCCGATAAAAATATATTTTGTAATTTTAAAAATAATCTTTTAAAGTTAAGTTTGTACTTAACATCATTCCTATCACTGCCTCTAATTTGATCGCAAGTTAAATTTCTCGTTTCCTCAGCCGAACGTAATGACTCATCCTCCAATAACATTGCTTTTTTTCTTTGCTTTCTTCTTAGTCTTTTTCTTCTGATTGGTATCTGTTCCAATTATATTTTGGGTAATGCTTTTCGCTCTATCTGATATGTTTTGTGTTCCATTATTCTTCCTCACCACGGTACTATACGTTTCATGACATATTTTAGAGCATTCTGTTTTCATCTAATTTATCTTGATTATATTCTAAATCTTGGTTTACTAGTTGTTGTGTTTCTTCTTTTTTATTAGTTATGTACATTTGTAAAGCTTTTCTATATGTGACAGTTTCCTTGGCCATAGTCTCTCGAATAATTTTTACTTTAAGATATATAGGACATTGTTTATCACATTTTAGCATTTGTAATCTCTTACTTCACAATTGTCGTGATTTCCGCCACATTTCGGGCATATTATTCTCTTAGATGGACAAAATTTCAAAAAAGGACCAAACTGCCAACATCGGGAACACTGGGTCACTGGAAATACAAACGGGTCTACTGCATATCGGCAACTGTATGCATATACATAAGACGGTAAGGTTAAACCCTTCAAAACACACTCTAATCGTCTCACTGTCGACCCACATTCCACTCGAACTTATCCTCTTCAATCTTTTTACAGATATATTTTTGTATCTGCTTCTAGAATTGCCATAATGTCTGTTTCATTCGGCTCCATATCTACACCTGTATGTGTACCATTCTGTATTTTTTTTAGAGTTAAATCGAATAAGTACCTTAAATGGGCTCTTATATTTAATTCTAATTATATTTTCAATGTTTTCATCGCATAATAACCTTGCTAAAGCTATTTGCTTAGGTAAAACTTCCGTGAATGTAATACAAACTTCATTATATTGGTCATCATTGTTTTGCGTTTCTACCCTCCTTTCCTCATTATTTCTATGTTTGGAATTATCTAAGTTACTGCTAAGAAGCTATTTAGGTTTTCTTCTTGTTACCGTAATAAACTCTTTATCGCTGCTATTTTCTCCTCTTTCTTTTCTCATCTCGGGTATGATATTTGGATTTGGTAAATTTTGCATGTCGTTATCTAAATTTCTCACTATATACAACGTTTCTTCACACCTTCTAAGTACTTCGGAATCACATTTATTGCTCATAGATAAAAAGCCATCGTCCTCCTCACTCTCATTCATTTTTATTAATAATTCTTGTTGTGGATAGTTTAGTATATCATGCAAGCGTAACGAAGCAGTTGTTACCAAACGTGAGGGTTACTACTTACTCATCCGTTGTTGCCAATAAGCTGTTTTCAGACGATGCATAAGACATAAGGCATAAGACGTAGGGTCTTTATGCATCTTCAGAAAACAGCTTATTTACAGTAAATCGAGGACTTTGCGGCTCTGTATCAGTGGCGCAAGGAGGCGCGTCAGTTGGATCGGTGTCCTGAGTTTTGACAAATCAAGGATCAGAAATCCCAACTCCGCCAGGTCCTCGTAGTGGTGTGGAAGGAACGACTTGGGCAACCGAGCGCTGGGCAACCGTTATGGAGGATTGCCTCGAGAGGCATCACGGAACCCTCTCATACCGGTTGAAACAGGTGATCACCGGGAAAGGATGCTTCGGCGATCACCTGTGTCTGATCCGCAAGGAGCCACCTCCTGAGTGCCACCATTGCGCTGGACTCCGCCGTCTCCTTCTGCGAGTAAGTTATGCTTGCAAAGGAGATGGCGGAGCAAGACCGAGAGAGGTTTAGAACTCTCCCGGTGCGCCAGGCATGGCAACGGGCCAGGAACCGCAGACGAATCAGGCGCCGGAGGTCGCAGAATGATCTCCGTCCTCCATAGCGGGCGAACTCTTCCGGGAGCAGAAAGGGGACATAGGGGTCTCATGGCCCGAGGGACGTCGAGGTATCAGGCATTTCCTTCCTAGAACACACCTGGTTCCCCGGCAATTGGTACCCGAGACGGCGTGAGGTTTTTGGTCAGTTCGAGTCCGACATAACCACCGGTGGGTGATATCCGAGGGGATTTCACAGAAAAAAAAGTAAGCAGCACACACACGCGGCCTTATCCTGTTAGATTTTTCTATTTTTCATATAAACACCTAACTGAGGCTCTATTACCGCGATTGTGAACTATTTGTGAAGTTTTAATTGGACTTCAGATTTGAAATTGTACGTTGTTACTTGTTATTTTGTTCTTGTGTGGGACATGATCCAATGTCTATAACTATTCAGTAAAAAATAAAAATAAATACTAGCTTAGGCCCGCGGCTTCACCCGCGTGATAATGTAGCTTTCCATTGATGAAGAGCTTTAAAATCGGTTTACTGGTTTAGGACTTCAAACGTAACTAACAAACAAACAAACTCACTTTCACATTTATTGTACAAGCATTTTTATAGTATGGATTATTATACGCATTATGAATGCACGTTACACTATGCATATCACTAACGTCCAATCAATGCATTTTGACAAAACAATCGAATTTTTTAGCCGACTGCCAAGGAAGGGTTATGTTTTTCTTGTATAACTGTTAACGACTGGTTAAAACTTAATTTATCAATTGTTATCAATATCTACTTGCGTGTGTATATATGTATTCATATACTTTTATACAGTATTTATATAAGGTATATACTTATGTGTAATATTAATATGTAAGTATATGTGTTGTATATGACAGATTTGTATATGTGTATATATTATATGATTTTGTACAAAGTATACATGTAATATAAAATGTCTAAATCAACTGTAACTAAAATGCACCTACTGCCTGTTTTCTCTGCATCAGCCTTGGTTGGCTGGTAGAGAATGCCTTAGGCATTAAGTCCGCCAATGCACCAAATATGCATGATGTGTAAATAAATAAATAAATAAATAAAACTCTACGTGACTGGCTCTAGGTCCTGCCTTCAACGAACAAGTTACGATTTGATTGTCAGCATTAAAAATCAGCATCGATTGTTGCGGCTGATGATGCTGATAATCAGTGGATACTGATACTAATGCTGCTATTCAAAACAACCTTTATACATATATACACATAATCCATATAATATTGGTATTACTCTAATGATAATGTACCTACCTTGTGTGTGAGGAGAGTTGTTACTTTTGCCTTGTGAGGAGAGTTGTTACTTTTGCCTTTGGAAGTATGAGAGGGGCATAGCACAAGAAGATTATTTGTAGAGCGAAGGGTTCTGTCATGATTAGAACACAGGAGTTGGAATGATATCAAGTAGGTGAAGTACTTTAACGTAAATCATCCATAAAGACCCTATTTCGCCTATTTAACTGTAAATTTAGAATGTAATAAAAAAATAGAGTAAAATCTAATACTTTTTGAATAATGGTGTGTTGAAGTTATAGGATCTTTTATAATAGAAAATACACATGGAACTTTTCAATAATCTAATAATGTCAAAGTATTTTTTACAGAGTGTCAGAAAAAACAAAAGAACCTAGTAACCTGACAATAGAAGAATAGGCCACACTCTCAAAGAGGAACTTTACAAAGCACCATAGAGTTTCTATTTCAACATCTTCTCTCTTTGTCAAGTTCAGCCAGTGTTTTCTCTTCCACTAAGCATTCCAATTTTTCCGCACAGCATACTAAGTTTGGTTGATCGTTATACCCTTCTTTTGAGAATACCCATTTATCACCAGTCGCGCTTTATAAGGTTCTATGCTTCCATCTGGATTTGTCTTTACTTTGTAAATAGCCTTTCTTCCCTTCTAGGTAAAGGTACCATTTCCCAAGTTTCGTTTTCTTTCAACGACTTCATTTCATCATCCATAGCTATTTTCCACTTTTCCTTATCTTTGGATTTCATAGCTTCTCTGAATGATTGAGGTTGTTTTACATCTCTCAACTCTGCAACTGTCATCATCACAAAATCATCAAATTTTTGAGGTGCTCTCAACGTTGACCGATCTCTTAGTCTCATACCTTGCTCTTCCTCTGGTTCTGCATTTGGATCCTTCTCTATTTCTGGTTCTACCTCTTGCTGCAACTCTGGTAAGACTTCTTCATTTTCAACCTCACTTTCTATATGTTCAGAGCCACAATCTTCGAATCTTTCATCATCACTGGGCTCTTCTCCATCATTAACTCGATCAGCTGTATCTGGTTTTACAAGTTTAACTATCGCTTCTGGGATTTCTATTTTACCGATAAGACCTTTCTGGACATTTGGTTCTTGAATACTCTCCTTCGTCTCATCCTTAGACTTCAAAGGCTTTTCTTCAAACGTTACATCTCTGGATCGAACTATTTTGTTCTTCTCTTTAACCCAAATTCTATAACCCTCGTCATTATCGTAACCGACCAGCACACCTTTTATAGCTTTCTTGTCCAGCTTCTTTCTCGTTATTTTAGGAACGTGTGCATAGCAAATACTACCAATTACTCTCAAATGCTTAATCCTGGGCTTCTTGTTGTACCAGATCTCGTACGGTGACTTGTCTAGTGGAGTAGGGCCCGTTCTATTCAGTATGTACACTGCGGTATCCACTAACTAGGCCAATAGACTTTCAGGTAAGTTATTTGCATGCATCATCGTTCTCATTGCTTCCACAGCGGTTCTATTATCTCTTTCTACACATCCGTTTTGGTTTGGCGTGTGTGGCATTGTCAATCTTTGCTTTATGCCATACGACTCCAATATTCTTCTCACATTTCCGTTATCAAATTCTCCTCCATTATCACTAAAAAGCTCTCTTACTGTATGTCCTGCAGTCTTTCCTTCAGCTAACATCACTTCAAGCTTCTTATGAACTTCTGATTTCTCTCTCAGAAAGTAGATATAGCGGAATTTTCTGAAATCATCTTTGAAGAGTACAAAATACTTGTATTTGGATAAAGAGTTGGTGAACGGCCCGCATACATCTACATGTATTAGCTCTCCTGGTTCAGAAGCTCTTTCTCTTGTTCCAAATTTCAACTTATGTGCCTTACCATATACACAACCCTCACATAGTTCTTTGTCTAGCTTCATCTTAATGCCAAGTTCTCTCTCAATCACCTTCTTCACATGTGATTTGCTCTGATGAGCCAACCTCTCGTGGTAAAGCTGCAACTGATCCTCTTTTGAAATGTTGTTGACTTCATTTGGACACTCAGATCTGATATTTCTGACTTTCAGCTTAAAAAGACCTCCATCTTTTTTTCTTTCTCCAATGAGTAACACTTTTTCATGCTGTAACAGTTTGCATTCTTCGGTTGTAGACATGAAAAGGCTGTTTGACATCTTATCTTGAGCTGACAGTACTGAAAATAGGTTTCTCTGTATTGTAGGCACATACCATACATCATAAAGTGCTATCTGTTCATTACGACCCTTTACATCAGCTTCTATGTATACAATTCCTTTCCCAACTGCCTTGATTGTATCTCCATTAGCTGTCGTAACGGTGTGTGAAGTGTGAAACCTCTCAAATGTCTGGAATAGATCCTCCCTGTTCGTGACGTGGCTTGTAGCTCCGTTGTCCACATACCAGTGATCTTTATCAGCAGAATCATTTGGATTCACTGCCATAATATGCATATTCACACTCATAGTAGGTCCTTTTGACTTAGATGTTAATGGTTTTGGCTTAGGTGGTCGTCCATCGGATATCCATTTAGAGCATCCTCTTATTCTGTGACCGACCATGCCACAATAGTGACATTTGTCTGTGCTCGCTTCCACCTTACTCTTCTCATAATTCTTACTCACTTTACTCTTCTTATTTGTCGTAACTTTGCTGTATTTCACTGCTAGTGCTTCTATCTTCTCTTCATACTTACTCGATAAAGCTCTTTCGTGGTTACTTAACTGAGTTGTTAGATTTTCTACAGTCCTGTCTTCTTTTGACATCATCATCCAGCTTGACTTAAACGAGAAGTACTCTTCAGGTAAAGTATCCAGTATCTTACAAATTAGGAATAGTTCTGGCAGCTCTTCTTTCAGGTGTTCCTTCTGGAGTTCCCTGGTAAGTTCTGACCAGATATTTTTCAATTTGCTGACATGTGCTGACACGTCACCACCAGATTGCATCTTATAACTAAAGAACTTCATGCATATGTCGTAGGCTTTGCTTTCTGATATACCATCATACAGGCGATGTAATTCCAGCCATACATCTCTTGCAGTAGAATACCTCATGACTTTTTCGCAGTTTTCTTGTGACAAATTCGTTGAGATGAGTAGCAAGGCTGCGCTATCCGCTGACACATACTTTTGCTCTTGTTCTTCATACTTTTTTACATCTGCAGCTGTTGCATCTACTTTTAGTTTCTCGGGCGGCACTAGCTTGCCCTCAACTACATCTTGGATCTTCAAACTATTTTGAATTTCCATGTTGCCCAGTTCGATTCATCAAGTGCTCCTACGTGAATCTTCGCTGCATCAACGATTGAATTTTGCATCTTGAGCTCTCGAACTATCAACACGTAATTTCTATCTGAATTTTATTTCCAGTAACCACGCTCTGCTACCATGTTGAAGTTATAGGATCTTTTATAATAGAAAATACACATGGAACTTTTCAATAATCTAATAATGTCAAAGTATTTTTTACAGAGTGTCAGAAAAAACAAAAGAACCTAGTAACCTGACAATAGAAGAATAGGCCACACTCTCAAAGAGGAACTTTACAAAGCACCATAGAGTTTCTATTTCAACATGGTGTAGGGAATGGTAGCTATATATAATTAAGTAATAACTAGATTTACTGTTAAATAGGCGAAATAGGGTTTTTATGCATCGTTTGCAAACAGCTTATTGGCAACAATGCGTGAGTAACAATCCTAACCTACGGAAGGAAAAATCGAATGATAAATCACCGGTATTCCACAGTTCACTGTGATTTTGTCCATGCCTAAAAGGTAATGTCGCACAAACGGCAACACTATGGTGTACTGACTGACGCCCCTTTAGGGGTATATGTGTTCTGTGGACTGACGCCATGTGTCTTCCTTCCTTCCTGCCACCATTTTGGTTTCATTAAATTAAGGATAGATTACGGATTGTCGGTTGTTGGCTTGTTCTATCGTTATGACTGATTCTCACTGAAACTGAAAATGTGCTTGTAAAATATAACTATAAAAGAACAATTATCACTTCCTGCAAGAGCAGTTTAGTGGTAGTTAAGTAGACTTATTTCGTTTTAGTTTACTAAGAAAGTTCATTGACAATGGAGGGACCGCCGAATCGAGGATTTCGGGGTGGTGGCCGTGGCGGCCCACCTGGTGGCCCCAATTCCAGAGGAAGAGGAGGATTTGACATGCGCGGCCGGTAAGAAACGCTTTACTTTTTTTTACGAGGTTATGTCTCTAATCAGTATTCAATGTGCTTTCCCATTTGTTCTTAATGATTAATTTCATTATCTGGTTTTAGAGGTGGTCCCGGCATGAGAGGTAGGGGAGGTCCACCACGCGGAGGTATGCCATTTCGAGGACCGCGAGGATTTCGAGGTGGGCCTATGAGGGGTGGCGGCGACAGAGGTGGCCGGAGCTTCCCGCCTGGGCCACAAGGACCGGGGCCACATCCGGTTCCAACTATTGAATCACGTGGAGCTCCACCACAAAGTAAGTGATTATGATTGAAAATAACTTTTATTCAAATCTCTATTGTCATTCGTGATATAAATCGCTGGGTTCAATGACTTATTCATAATTTTGAGGTTAGAAATATCAGTGTTAGCGTTATGTAGCAGTAGACAGCAAATTATTAAATATTAAACATTCTTAACTTTGGGGGATCTAACTACTACATTTAATTACAAAGTCACCGACTATTACAATAAAAATGAAGCGGTTCTTTAAAAGTTTTTACGTTTTAGTTCTATTTATGATTATTTTTAAGTCACAGTTTAATATAGAACCACCATTTGTTTTTTCAAGTTTGTACAATTTATTTGTTATATAGGGGGAGCATTTAACAATCGGGGTGGTCCTGGTCTTATGAGGGGCAGAGGAGGTAGGGGCCGTGGAGATTTCAGTGGTCGTGGAGGTGATAGGGGTGGTGGAAGAGGGGGAATGCCCATGAGAGGTAATACATTTTAACTTGTTATGAGGCTTATCATATGTATGAAGAGAACTGATGTGGTTCAGTTCAGTGGTTGTTATTATCAAGTCTACTAGACTGTCCATAATATCATCATAATATTTCTTGGTGGTTGTGTGATGCTTACTCCTGAATTAATTTACCAACAATATAATACTGCTCAACTTAAAATTTGAAGCTTCAAAGCAGGGTTGTCCAAACTTGATAAAATCTAGGGTCATAAAAAAGACTACACAAAGTACTTGAAGAGACAAAAATTCAGGTATGTCATTGTTTTTATAGATTTCATAACTTTTCCATCAACTTGTCTTTCACAATTCTATTAATATCAACATTGATACTAATGATACTAATTTCAAAAGGGGTTATTTTCTTATTTAAAAGTTGATGAAAAACAGTTTGCTGGCTGTGGTTTGGACAGATTTGCTCTTAAGCATATTGAGCACTTGTGGCAAGTAAGTTAATTAAAGGTGAACTGCCACACTTTTTATATGTACAGTCTGGGGGACTGTACCAAAACGGCACTCAGTGCTCTGCAGGTCCAATATGATAATACCTTTAGGGTTCTGCTTGGGCTGCCATGATACTGCAGTGTTGTAAATGATTTCTATTCTTTAATGCATAAAAGAGCAGCACCCATGATGTTAAGGGTACAGGGCAGTACCAAAGAGGCACAGTGCTTGCTGCGCCTTTGTTAATGATAGGAACATTTAAGAAAAAGTATATAGTAGACTAGCTGACCCGTGCAACTTCGTCTGTGTCTCTCAATAGTAATTTTTTTTTTTTTTTTTTTTTTTCTCTTTATTTATTGAGCATTGTCAAACCTGACATAGCTCAATAAATAAAGAGAAAAAAAAAAAAAAAAAATTCTCCGTTTTTGAAACATTCTTCATTGGTGCTCTGCTCCTATTGGTCTTAGCGTGATGATATATAGCCTATAGCCTTCCTCGATAAATGGGCTATCTAACACTGAAAGAATTTTTCAAATCGCATTCAAACAAACAAGCTAACTCTTCAGCTTTATAATATTAGTATGGATATAGCTTGTGTAAATATTACTAACAAAGATTATAAGGAAATTTTTACTACATGGCATGGGTTTGAAATAAAATAGTTTTGAGTTGGAATATTGTAGAAAGAGACATGATTTTCACTCTTTTCAATTGTCATTAATTTTTCTATACTATGAAAATGTTCCCTAACCACATAGCAGTTTCTGAACTCCTGACAAATTTGTACTCAAAATTTTAAATGCCCCCAACTGCCAATCAATATAATATTCTTAATCCTCTTATTGTTTAGTAAATTATTAAGAAATAATTTTTTTACAGATTCTAAATGTTTCAATTCAAACCTTTGACAACATGCTATAAAATTAGAACATCCAGTAAAACAGTTTTGTGTTGGGGTTGCAGTTTTAACCTAACCTACTTTTCTGATAGCTAATTGTTTCTGACGGGGTCGCTATTCTAGCCTAATAACCTAACCTACTGTTCTTGTCATGGCTCGTTTCTGATGGCGAATCGTTTTCTTTTGGGTCACAGTTCTAAACTAACCTAATTTTATAGTTGAAACCGACGTTGATAGGGCTGTAAAGGTATTTATGGACACACTTCTAAGAATCGTAGACAAACACACTTATAAAATTAAGATTAGTCACACTAAATATAACTTAAAACCATGGGTAACCCCTGGCCTAATGCGCTGCATGCGGCACAAAGATCGATTACACTTACGTGCAAAAAATAACCCTAATGAGCCTCTAGCTCAAGTAATCTACACCAGATACCGTAATTATTTTGTGGAATTAATGAGAAAAGTTAAGAATGACTATGATACACACTCAACAAAGGGCAACCTAAAAAGCTGTGGAAGACTATTATAGAAATATGTCATATCTCCACTAGGAATTCAGAACCCAATGACTTGCTCTCCCTTCCTGGAACGAACTATTAGAAACAATCTCTGAACTTAAGCAATGATCACTTCTCCAGTCGGACAAAGACTAGCCAATTCAATATTATTGCTAAATAACACAGATGAGAATATACTAGCTGCTAATACAACAACTATAGACACCCCACGTAACTACTTCTTTCTCGAACCTACAGACACTATAGAAGTGTAAGCTATGATTGTTAATTTAGATAACGATAAAACCCCCGGTATCGACTATCTAAGCAATAGTCCAGTGACTGGAAAACAGCTGTGGTTTGCCCAATTTTTAAAGCCGGTGATGCACTCTCCTGAAAATTACCGCCCAATAACGCTTCTAGGAGTCTTATCAAAACTTCTAGAAAAAATAATAAACAAGAGACTTACTAAGTGCCTTGAAGACAGCAGTATCCACCAATGACGCGGTAACTAAGCTGACTTCTTTTGTAGTTTCTCATCTCGGTAAGTCTGAGGACTATATTGGTGTCTTCTTAGATCTGGCAAAAGCCTTTGATACTGTCTCCGTGCCGATACTATTAAAGAAACTGGAAAACAAAGGTATTAGAGGCGTTCCTTCAAAAGGGTTCAGAAGTTACCTGACGTCACGGAGACAGTGAGTAAGAGTTACTGGCCAACTCAGTGACACCAGAAATATTAATTATGGTGTGCCACAAGGCAGTTTGTTACGACCCCTTTAGTTTATGGATGACATCCACAAACTATCTCTCTCCAATTCAGAAATGATTTGCTACGCGGATGATACCGTTATACTCTTTAAGGGCTCAAACTGGCAAGAAACATTTGACAGGGCAGAAACTGGAATGTTAACAATAGCAAAGTGGCTTTACAACAACCTTCTGACTCTTATTTAAAAAAAAAACAAATTCATGTGCTTCCATAAAACTGCCACCTCTACTTCACCTATTTCATCCAAACTGAAACTACACACATGTCATAATCCATCCTCCACTACATGCGCTTGTAGTTATATCGATAGAACTCCTGAAATTAAATACCTTGGTGTCATGATAGACCAAAAACTTAACTTTCAAACCCACATTTAATCTCTTTCAAACAGAGTAAGAAAAACAAAAAATATAATGAGACAACTCAGACATGCCTCCTCTCCAGAAACACTTAAAATTACTTACTTTGCACTGTGTCAATCGCTTCTTACCTATTACATATCCTGTTGGGGCAGAGCAGCCAAGTCACACATGATTCCATTGGAGAGAGCACATCCCGCTGTATCAAAAACCAATGCTCAAAAAGCCCAGACTAAACCCAACCACTAAACTCTATGAGTCTTAAAAGTCAACTTTTAAGTGTCCACAAACTTTTTATTTACCATACCATATTACTTGTGCACAAAACAGTTATTTCATCCCCGGAATATAACTATATGACCAGACGTCGCCTCTTTAGACTACATGTACCTGCTTGTCGCACTAAATCTGCCCAACGCTTTAATCCGTTTTTATCAGACTACATTTATAAAATTACTTCCAAATTCTGTAACATCCGTCTGAATACAGTACCAGCGACAAAAATAAAAACTTATGAATGGTTAAGTAAACTCACATATGAAGAGACAGAAAAGTTATTAACTACTATAGCATAAAACATATTTAAAAATTCAGTTATTTATGATATTTAGAAGTATATTTTATTAATAGTATTCCTTATGGTTTATATTTATATATGGGATTATATATATTATGATATATAGATAATTTGTTCCTAATTTAAAAGGGATTTCGTAATTATTAAGCATTTATTTTTGTTGAATTGTCTAATTGTTTTATTTTAGGTAGCTCATCATTTTTTTTTTTTCTGTCTTTCTAATATGTTAAAAGTTGTGAAGTGCAGGAGCTCTATACCTTAATGTAAATACGTTTGGCTGGGACCCCACGATACAGGCTTGCCTAGTGTGGGGACCGCGTTTAATATTTATCTGATAAGATCTGCTACACTTATTTTATGTCTTGTTAAGCACTCCTGTCATTTATTTTCTTTGTGTTTCTAAATAAATATGTTGTTGCGGTTCTAACCTAACCTACTATTCTGGTCGCACCTTGTTTCTGATGGCGATTCGTTTTCTTGTCTGGTCGCAGTTCTTACCTAACTCTTAATTAATTTTAGTAAATGTTTATAAGATATTTATTTCCAAAATTATGAATGGCATTAACATCTATTTATTTTTTATTTTTGTTATTTATTATTTATTTATTTATTGAGGCACACAAAACAGAACATAACACAAAGCTTAGTCCTATAGATAGCTAACACAAACAGTTTCGATCTTAGCTATGCTCCTAAATATGTGTACACAACATGGCAATGTAGGTGATACAAGATGAGATTACATGCAACCTAAAGAGCTAAGTATTAACATAAAAATAAAAATAAGTATAAAATTTGAAACATATTTAAAATGTATAAGATGTTTAACATATCAGACCAACGTTGATGACATAATATGCGTAATTGCGTATGCGTAATGCGTACTTTTTCGTTGAAATGGAACACCATGAAACACTTTACACCAAACAAACGATATTCGTTAAAATATAATCCTACTGTTTGATAAATAAAAATGGTGGTTATAAAAATTATCGAATTTTATTGTTTCTGTGAAATTTATTTCATTCAAATACATACTTGTTAAAGCAATAATTAATAATTTTTTTGTAGGTCGTGGGGGACGCGGCGGTCACGGAGGTCCCCCAGGTGGACCACCAGGTGGTGGCCCACCTGGCCCTCCTCACCCAGTAGGTGGACCTCCCCGCCCTGCACCACCACATGCTGCACCTCCACCTGCACCTGTGCCGTCACAGCCATCTGGGCCTTTCAAAAGAGGTGGTGGTCCACCACACTCAGGTCAAGGAGGACCTCCTAAACGACCCAGGTAATTGGTATGCTTGTGTCTATTGTTTGTTTAACACAAGGTTCTGCCAATTTCTATCCATGAAATAGATTGAATTAGCAGTTGTCACTTACATTCTTCCTTTATTTTTTAAATGCATTGATTGTTAGATTATAATATTGTTTTTTTATAATAGATTTGATGGTCCTCGTGGTGGTGGTGGTGGAAGACCCCCTCCACCCGGTGGCTACCAACAGGCACCGCCGTCCCATGCACCACCGCCGGCCAATGGTTATGGACCAGTGTATGTATAATTGCTTTACAATAATACTGTTATATAAATATTTTTAATGATGAACCCCAAATAAGATAGGAATGTGCCGTCTGAAACATAAATGACGATACTCTCGTGGCTGAATTTTTATGTTTCTCATAGAAAATGACTGTATATTTTTGCTTGTGTTAAGTTTATCTGTAATTTACAGGCACACAGGATACCAGCCATACGAACCACCTGCAGCAGATCCATATGCTCAGCCATCCTACAATACACAGAGGTAAGATTTTACAATAAATTCTAACTTAATTGTTTTAATGTTATATTGAACAAATAATTACCTACACCAATGATGATAACGATCTAAAGATAGGAATTGCCGTCTGACACATATATGCAGAAAATCTAGATTCTGAGAAGCTGGATGTGCATATCCAAAATAGGTTGTTAAGGGAAGGCTATTAATTAGAATATTTTTTTCAGTGCATATCAAAGCAGTAATTACTCTGCGCCTGCACCCGCCCAGCCTAGTTCAGGCTATAATTCTGGTAGTTATGGCTCTGGTTATGGGTATTCAACTAGCGCACAGGGAAGTTATGAAAATGAAGGTTACAGGTTAGTAAAATCTCTTACTTCATAAATTCTAAATCCCATTTGCTTTCTCTATAAACTAAAAAAGGGTCTGTCTTAAATGAATAAATTTTGCTAGTCTTGATTGTCTACATTTCTTTTTGTATGTGTAAAATGTCCTAACATTTTTGAATGCTTTATAATAAAAATAAAATAAAAATTATATCATTTATTATCATATGTGTAATAAATACTATTAGTGAGTCAACTCCTCTGATAGACTGCTAAATGGTGCTAATTCTGTTGTTCGAAAACTCTCTAAACTAAAAATCACTAAAAATTTGTTTAGTCCTGTCAAACAACGTTTCCTATTCTAAAAATGTAATATTTGACAGGACAACATTTTTTTATTGCGATTCTTAGTTTAATTTAGAGAGTTTTAGGCCCGTATTTTAAAAGACGTCTCAAGTGTCGGTTGAACTCTGATTGCCTGAAACTAGTTTTAAGTGCAGATCAAATCTTAAGTATCGATCTTATTATAGAACGCGTTTTATGTTTTACTCAGTTGAAACTAGTTTCAAGTATTTATTTGAACTTACAGTCTGTTCTCAATTACGTTTTTGCATGTTTGACATTATTATTCCGCATTACGCAGCTAATTATTTAAAAAGTACTTTTCTTTTACAAACATAATTTCTGTGAATTTGTATATAATGTACTATTGGCTAGTGTAGCAATGTTAACATATTAACAAGCTTGTTGTTCGTTCAAAATCAAATATAATAAATATTAAAATAAAAATGACTAGCTGTATGAATAGGCTATAACGGAACGTTCAAGTTATTTATCAACACTTGTCATGTTGAAATGTCAAACGATGTTTATATTTGATATTTCTGAAATTTACATTACTATACTTTTATAACATAAACCAAAAGGTTGTGGTAATTTAAACTGGTATTGTGTGTGTACAATGTGAATTTTGGTGAATTTCATATCAATAAAGGTAAATTAAAGTGAAATTGATTGTAGTATGACAAGTAATTCTTTCGTAAATGAAGTAAAGTAAATCTTTCGTAATTATTCAAAAACAAATAATCGTAAAACACATTAATTTGCCCTAAATGCCCTAGAAATCACCGCTTGAGACTAGTTTCAGCTTGTCTCACGTAAACAAAGATCACAGCTGTCAAAATCTATACCTGAGTAATGATTTCGACATAAACATCGTTCTAAAATAAGCTATCACTCACTTGAGTATGGATCGGTGAATCTCGTTTTAAGTGACGTTCAATAATAAAATCTCTACTTAAAATTAGTTTTAAGACTAGATTCACGACTGAGACACCTTTTAAAATACGGGCCTTAATCTACAGGACTGTCTCGACTAAAAATGTGCAAGGGTCGTCACAAAAGCGATCACGATTGTAAGTAGCTAGGTAAAAATAGTATTTACCTAATTTAACTATATTTTACCTATATCAGTATCTTGGGTTCCTATTCCGTTTAAAATATTGGATAAAAGGTTGAACAAATTATATAAAACAGTTATATTAAACATAAAATTTTACATGGAGAATATTTTATTTCGTTTCTTTCGTGATTTCCGTTGATGAAAATAAATATTGGGCAAAGATTTTGATAAACTTGAATTCTTACAACTGTGTGATTGCTGCAGCTTTCCATCACAATATTAATGTAATTATATGTTATTAATATTTAATATTATTAAATATATTATTATTTTAAACCACCAAATACATCGAGAGTTTTATTATACACTCTTTCTCTTATATTATTACTAAAGTAAAGAGATAATAGTACTGCTGTGAGTTAATCAAATAATAAAACTATTGCGGGTTATGTTGTGTTCTACCAAACGCGTGCAACATGAACGGGCGTACCGGTTAGCAAGTGAAGTTGGCGGGTACCACCGCAGACGTCGCGGGCAGGAGGGGGACTCCCAGCGTTGCTCTTCTAAGTAGCTGAGTTGACTCACCATTAGTATTTGTTACACATATGGCATTATTTGCCTTTGTAATAAGAAAACTTATACCTAATTTGTTCATCATGTCAGTATTGGCCATATATTAATGAAACAATTGTGGACTTGCACTTAGGCCATTGATATTGGAGATTCTTTACAATTACCAGTATAATTATCAACAATTCGAAATTCACGAGTTATTAATTGATTGAATGTAACAGCGGCGGCGCCGGCGGTGCGGGAGACGCTGGCTACGGCGGGGGTGAGCCTGCGTACGGTGGGCAACCGCCCGCGTATGACTCATACGCGCAACCCTCCTACAATACCTATCAACAGCCCCAGCCACAGTACAATAACAATTATGGTAAGTTTAAAAAGTAATAATCTCTTTAAGTACTCTAAGAAGATATATAGGTTCAAAATATATGTATCAACATGGTGATGTATTTATTTATTAGTAATGCTTTCATAGCCATTTACCTATATCTAAGAATTATTGAGGATTTTGTTATTAGAGATAATGCTAATTTATTGCATTAAAAAGAGTAGGTAAAATATCTTTGCGTTCGGAAATCAATGAACAAACAGAAATTCAACAGAAGTATTATTTATAAGATTTAAAGTTTATTAAGTGTATTAAGTACAGACATATTGATGATGCTCTTTATTGTAGGTATTCTAATACAGGTATATAGACGTTTATAGACGAAATCAATAATTTAATTATCATTTAAGACAGATGCGTCTTAAGCCACAAACTTATTAAAATGAGCAAGTAACAAAGAAAACAATGCAAGTACATAACTACAGAAAATAATATAAAAACTAAGATAAAAATGATAATGATAAACAAAATTAACACCAGAAAGTTATCGAAACAAAGTTAACACTAGAAATTGTGTCAGTGATAAGTGAAACAAGTACTAGGGTTAGGCTGTTACCAGCCTATTATTGTTTTTAATAATTTGCAATTATTAAGTCATAAGTGTCTATTATTATTGTTTGCATTACAGGCAGCTGGTGATCTGTTTGACTATACAGAATATGATTTATGTGTTTACGGTACACATTCAAAATAAAGTATCTGGATCAAATAATTGAAGCTAATGGATATACAACTATACAATGCAGTTTGCTATGTATACGTCACATTTTGTTAGTTGATATTTTGGAGAAAGTAACACATTATGTAAATGACTAAGTGAGTCCACTGAGAAGTGACAATAATGAATGAACATATATAAAATTGATGTATTTACCAATGTAACTGAAGACGAAATAAACCCTCTTAATGATCAAATCTGTCAATTAATCAATGATTGATTCTTGTATTAAATACTTTAAAGCAATTTACATATAATACTTTAATCTATTGGATTGGATTGACTTTCTCTTGGCTCATTTCTTGTAATAATGGTATAGGTAGGTACCATAATGTTTTAGTGTTTAAGGACTATTCACAATAAAATTTAGATAAATTCCATGTGTATACTTATTTCATTACAATTTAGCAATAGTATTGCTACCACTGTACGTTAATTAATTTACGAATTAAAATAAAAAGGAACTTACAATAGTGAAATAGTTTTAACCTAACAATATTTCCACTACTTTATTTATGTCATGATTACTAAAAGGTCCAGATATTAATAATTGTAGAATAAACTCCAATAGGTAGGTTAACCAATGAGGGAGGTGTGTTACCAAATCGTTTCAACGTAACAAGATAGCATAAAAATGGTGTGTAGTTCTTAAGAAAATGATATTATGTAAATGCATTAAAAACCCCTGTAAAATTTGATTTAGGAAATTAAACCGAAAATAGTCAATGTTAAAGAATATGTTAAATTTATTCTTAAATGTTAAATAATAGAGAAATGAATGTGTTAAACAAACATTTTATTGAGATTACTGTTGTTAAATATTTATACTTGTCTACTAAAGACATCAATTTTTAGTAGTTTTTTTTTATAAATCCTGTAGATAATCTACAGAGAAACATTAAGTAATATTTAAAATCCTAAACAGATGAAATTTGAAAAATAGTCGTCTTCTCGTCTTGTACAGACATTGCATTATGGCACCAAGAAGTTGAGGTTCAATGAATTATTATTCATTGGTAATAAACAGCTATAAAGATTTAATAATGTGCACTTCTGAGAAATGCAATATATTACACTACATGTTGTCGTGTGACCGAACATGTTCCCTTTAGTTAAATCTATTTACACAATTATTTTTTTTACTTATTAATACTAGGGAAACTGGTTGGAGTCAATAGATATAATAACAAATACTATGGCGTACTAATAGTCCTAAACTAATATATAAACAGATCTCATCAGATTTGCCTGGTCTTTGGTTACTTGACTCACATATGTGCCTTCACCTAATATTATTAATCTTAGACATCAAGATATGCAATAATTGATTTAGGTAGTTGCACATTATATAAAATTAGTTTAGTCTTGCTCACTCATAGATAATTTTTTATTAAATATCAATGTATTCAACTGAAAAGGAGAATAAGAAGATTTATTGATAATATAAAATGTACTTGCATCTGAAGAGCCACATGCTTATTTAGGATTTTTATACAAGTTAGGAGAACACTTCATGAAGGCAGAATAGAGCATTTTGACAGCTGGCTGAGCTAAATTTAGAAAAAGAATATAGAGGGCAATCTTTGGTATTAGCAATTAATGTGGTCTGATTATGTTATCTCAAATAAAAAGTAAAAATAGAGCACATCAAAAGATTTAAATGAAGCTTGAATATAGGCTAATCATTATACCTTTGGTACATAGGATGCTCATGTTTGTTCAAACAAATAAACAGTAATCCCCCCTATAACAGGGTACTTTTATAACGCATTTTCATATTACGCGATTTCAATCCCTCGTATAGCACGGATATTACCCCATATAACGCGGGAATTTCCCACGTTATATTTATGTACTGTGAAATTTAAATGATTTGTAGAGTTCATCATTAGTTCATAATTCGATTTAAACCCTTTAACGAGAAAAGTAAAATGTGAATCATTTGTATATTTGCCTATAACGCGGAACAAATCTACCTTGTTTTTAGGGGGATTACTGTATTATGAGTTAATTATGATTTAATTCCAAAAATATAAATGGCCAATTAAATTCGAAGTTATTTGTTACACTCTACAGTTTGATTCTATTGTATTTAGTTACTCTAGTTATTGTAGATTTTTAATGTAGTTAGTGTAAATTTACCTTTGATTAAGTCTGGCACACAGTAGATGATTTTTATTTTAGACACATTTTTAAAGTCCTGTATGTAATCAACATATATATATAAATCATGTGATTGGCTTACTTATTGCTTGAAATTTGAGAATAACAAAGTTAACCCAATACCTGTTTGACAACCGAGATCTACTCTGGTTTAGAATAGTTCTCAGATGACAGGTTTCTAAAGCAGTTATACTAACAGGAGACCTACATACTTTGTGATTTTCTACTATTGTTTTTAAGAATGCTCTATTGTTTTTAAATGAATTTAAATACAGAAAGGTAATGACTTCAAATATTTATTTCAAGACCTGTTTTTATGATAAATATTTAGTTCTAGACAGGGAATGAAAACCTCCTATTCATTGTGGTATTCATAACCAAATTTTACAAGCAACAGCTTCATACTAAAGCGAGACATTTTTTTCATGAGCCATATTTTGTGACAAGTGTTTTATGAGAAATAATAATACTTTTATTACAGCAAAGTAAAACAGGAAATATGTGTATAACACATAAAAATGTATCTTTAAGGCTATGATTTTAATTAGGTAGTGGACAGCATTGGAGTTCTAAACATGTCTCAAATTAATTTTGACTACTTGGCTTGAAGATAAAATAAAATATAAGAACTAATGACATACAGGTAACATAATTTTTATTAATAGTATTTTAGGACTAAATATATAAGGTATGCCAAATATCTCGCTAGAGCACAAATACTTGAAGGATGTGTCCACTGTGTTGCCAACTTCTTATTGCCATTTAAAAATCAGAAAAAAATATATTGTCACATGTTAATTCAATGTTATAAAATTTATACACAAAGAAAATCACTAGTAAATAAGATTACTGGGTCTTACAGTAAATATATTTTAGTAGGTAGAACAATATTCTTAGAGCAAAACTGTATAAGAAATAGTGTTATGAGAGAAACACATAATGAAATGCCAGAAGGGCAGGTAAATGTGGCTTATTAGATACATCATTAATAATGAAGTTTTACATGGTAGGACTGAAATCATAGAGGCATCAAAGCTTCAAGTAAACTATATATAAGCACAAAAAGAAATCAGTTCTTTGTCATACAATTACTATAAAAATATAATGTAATGGTTATAGTATCAGATGTTTATCGATATGTCTTTTTAACAGACTTAAAAAAAGGCGGAGGTTCTCACTTCGACTGTATTTTTTTATTGTATAATCTTTACACTTAATTTGTTTACTTTACCTGTATACTTATCTTCCAGGTATCAGATGAAATTGATCCATTCATGTGAACTAATTGATACACTCACGTGACATGATCAAAATTAAAAAGCAACAGTTGGATGCAGTAATAAGCAGGATTGGTTGATTTGAGGTAAATACAAATTGTGACATTTATTACTTGAAGGATTCCATATGCAATGTGCAAGTAAAACCTTTTATTAAAGATTGGTGGCATTCTACCTTAAACCCACCTTATAAATTATTTTTAAAACTTTAAACAAGTTTAGGAATTTAATATTTATTTTTAATATGACTAAAACTTGTACTAATAATTATAAATTAGATGATTAAAACTCATTTAATGCCAATCAATGACTAGTTGCCTAAAATTAAAAATATTTTCCAATAACTTTATGAGAAAAAGATTTTCTAGTGTATTGATTCCTTTGGCGCTGACGAATAAATGAGTTCTCAATTGTTACAGATGTATGGACAGATCAACACAAACATTAATTTTGCTGTCTTCTGGACCGATCGCGTGTTTGGTGGTTTTATATAAAACAACAATGCTATGGAACTGGCTTTAAGGTGGAGCATATTGACATTAACCAATAAAAATGTAATTATTATTAAAAACCTGAAGTATTTTACGAACTCAAATGATCACGAGTAATAAGAAACAAATATAACTTGTTATTAGATGTTAATCTGTATTTATTTAAATAAAACCTCTCCTTTTTTAGGGTTCCGTACCTCAAAAGGTAAAAAAGGAACCATTATGAGATCACTTTCTTGTCCATCTGTCCTTGTGTCACCACCGATTTTCTCAGGAACGGGTAGACCTAGCAAGTTGAAATTTTTAATTTTAATTGTAATATTGAAATAAATGTTAGCTAAATAATTAGTTATCTGGACTAGGTAAATGTTACAACTTATTTGGTATTTGTATTTTCTTCGGCTGCGAAGTTATTCGAGATCCTGCTGGAGTAACGTTTGTAGGTTTGCTGGATCTCTGAAACGGGTAAGCGGGTTGTAACCATCTTTTGTACATAACTTCTTAAGGATTAGTTTTAATTTGTTCGACAATAAAATAACAAAAATAATGGACCGTTTAAAAATTATTTAGGTAAGTATGAAAACACTTCAATACGTCCTAACACTTTGAATAAGACCTTTAAAGACTTACTTCAAACGTTGAGTTGATGACGTTGATGACTTTTATTTAAGTATCTCGTAAATTATTATATGTACCACGCTGAAATTTTATAGGTAGACAACTGAACTAAACAAATAATTATTGACATAACATTCAGTTTATATATCCACACACAGGTTTATCGGTGGCCAAAAAAGGCCACACACATTGTGATCGTGAACGTGGAGAGCCACATTTCATCATAACTTTTAAGTCACTTAGAGTATTCTTACGAAAATTCGCATACATTTGAAGGTAGTTACAAGCAATAGAATAACGTTTGAAGTAAGTCTTTAAAGGTCTTATTCAAAGTGTTAGGATGTTATGCATTCAAAAAAATACAAGTCGGAATATTTAAATACTAAGTAGTCCTTTGTTGGTCTACGATTTGTAATACGAATGAAAGAACTAACGTTAGTACCGTAATAAGCTTAGACCTTTTAGCCCTGGTACTTATGGAAGTTTTTATAATAAGACGGTAGAGGTCTTATTCAGTGTTAGGACGTATTGAAGTGTTTTCATACTTACCTAAATAATTTTTAAACGGTCCATTATTTTTGTTATTTTATTGTCGAACAAATTAAAACTAATCCTTAAGGAGTTATGTACATAAGATGGTTACAATCCGCTTACCCGTTTCAGAGATCCAGCAATCCCACAAACGTTACTCCAGCAGGATTTCGAATAACTTCGCAGCCGAAGAAAATACAAATACTAAATAAGTTGTAACATTTACCTAGTCCAGATAACTAATTATTTAGGTAAAATTTATTTCAATATTACAATTAAAAAAGAAAATGTCTGGCTGCGGTAACGTTTCAAACGTTACCCCAGCAGGAAATGTTTTTTTGAAATAACTAAAAAGTTTAAGTGAAACAAATTTAAAAATGTGCTTAACAATTACAGAAGGGGAGCAACTAATAATCTATAAAGTTTAAATGAGAATTTTCGACATTATTTTGCTGGGGTAACGCACACTGTCAGTGGTATGACAGTGGCTTGGCCGTGAACATGGCCCTGACCTATTTAACCATAACTAGTAGCACGACGCGTGTAGCACTTAAAGCGGCAGCATCGCACTTGTATGCTTAAGTTGCTAGTGTCCTTGGGCGACGGTATCGGGCGTCGGACGGTTATATAGGGCAAAAGAGCATACGCTCTATGTAATATAAAACACGACAACTATAGATTATTCTATATCAGTGTAAGGTTCTGTTGCATTCAACACATTTTAAATTGAGAGGAATTTAAATAAAAAAACAATATTTTTGCTTAATTTATATTAAGATACGTCTACGCCTGCGTCTCGGGCAGAGTGGTGATGATGTCAGAGTCACCAGGATCAGTGATGGCCAGTGTGCATACTCGATAGTATTTTCCACAAGCTGTACCTAACTCAATGTTGTTTCCGCTATAGTGGTGGACGCCAGTCTTAGCCAGGAGTGCGTAGTATTCAATCTCTGATTTCCTGAAGTAAAAAACATGATGTCAATCGTTATTTAATTAAAAATTATACAAATAAAATAGTAATACTTTGACTTAACAAATGACTCCTCTTAGGACATCAGTACTATGTATTGCATCATTAATCAGGCTTTTGGAAATAAATGACGATGGTACAACCAGACTGAACCAAGTATCATTTTTTTCAGATTAGCGTTTTTGTCCTAAAGGCACGAAAAAACAATTCCTTTATATCACAGTGATCCAAGTGCTAATGGTACTATTTTCCTAGAGAACTATAAATCTTTTACAGTAGAATGAATGTCTGTCTGATTGTCACGTCTTACCATTCTGATCTGTGACAAAATAAGATGTGGATCATTTTGGTATTCCAAGTGATTATTTTTGTGTAAAACTTAAGCCTTGTGTTACTATTAATGAAAATTATGGAAGGAAACATGTTATAAGTTCAATTCAACTTGTTAGACATAATTTTAACAAATATTTAAAATAGTAATGAGGTATTAGATTTATCACAACAAGTACAAACATGTTTCCCTATAGTAGAATTATTTTCTCCGTGCAGTTTGGGTCATAAACCATAGCTCGGCCCCGGCCCGGCTAGGGCGGTGAGCATGTTGCGCGGGCGCAACGCCATTATCGATAAGAACAAATGAGTCATCAAAGGCAGGTACACAGCGGCGGGGCGGTATACAAAGGTGGTGAGACATTGTTATGTTATGAGTCATTTGTTGTTCCCCTCTGCAAATTATAGTACATATGTCAAAGAGAAATATGTTTTTGTGCATTCGCTCTCTGAATTTCTTTAGTGACACAAAGGCTACTCCTTTGTTTTGTATTAAAATGGTAGAATTTATTAAAAATAATATTTTCATTTTAAACTTAGGTATAAGTATTTATATTTATTTTTAACACAACTTTTTACATTCTAAACTATTGTACTTATAACAATACATACTAATAATTTATTTTTATATTATTATTATTCTTATTTTAATAAATACGTTGTTTTATCTATTTTTTTCATTAATTTTGTCACTAACCCACAAAATGACAAAACTAAATACACTATCGATAACGCTTATCGACAACAATAATGCGCATCACTATGCCCGCCCATAAGGCTCGTGAGTGAAAGAGAGAACGAAATACTCGCTTCACCGCTCCGACTATTTATGACCCAAACTGCACGGAGAAAATAATTCTACTATAGTTTTCTCAAAAAGACAAAATTGTGATTTAGATCAGTCTGGTTATACCAATGTCAAATATACTCTTTTATAAACACCTTGTTTTCAGTACAGCAGTGATGCAATACTTGGTTATACTCGAGAGGCTAATAGCCCAAAAGACATGCATTAAACTCTAATTAGCACAGCTAAACAAAATTGAAAACTCCAAGTGAACTGTAGTGTGTGTACACATGTAACTTGGAACAAACAGAATCAAGTGTAGCTAATAAATAACATTGTGTCATTGTTTTACATTTATGTTGACAATAAGGTTTTATTTAGTCACCAGTCCAGTAAAATAAATTATTTATTTATAACTTGGACTGACAGCTTTCATAAATTTGCTTAACATAGAGATTTGCATCAGTAAGCCAATTATAGCTTCCGAAGTTTAGTGAAATAAAGAAGACAAACATTTGTTGTCACACTGTTTTTATATTACATGGGGATATAGTTAGCAGTTCAAAAAATTACAATGGCCATACCATGAAGCATTGAATAACACTCATCTGCATAATAATTTTGAAATATTTGAAGTCCTGAACACATTTTTCAAAAACGTAAGTTGACTAAAATAAAACAACTGAATATAAAAACTAAGTAAAGGAAACTTGGCTTTAAAATTCATAGACATTATTACATTTGATAACTGTTTTGCAATAAAGGCCTGCTCTGCTCTACCTAGACTCTCCATACCATCTTTATAGGCAATATACTTTTAAGTAGACAAGTTACACTTTATTAAGTAAAAATAGGACATAATGTAGACTAATACCTGCACTTTAAATTACGTTGACATCTTTTATTTTCAAAGTATCTGTTTAACAACAATGGGCTTACTCATATTAGATAAATACAACCAATAAATATTAGTTGGCTATATGTAGAGGTTTGATACATCTCTGCCTACCTCTATCGGAATATGAGTGTGAATGTATGTAATTTAAGTACTACGAAAGAAAAGAGGGCTAAAACATTGTGCAATCAATTAGTTTGAAATCATATTAATGTACTATATAGTAATACATAATATTGCTTACCCAACTTAAATCAGCACATGAATCAAGACTACTCCATAGGTTTCCCATGTGAATCAAGAAAAGCAGTCATGTAGTATTTAACATGGAAATATCAGTTCTAATTGTATTTTGATATATTTATGAATGGGTATTTACAGTATAGATGTGAGTAGATAATATTTTTTAACTTGACTGTTTCATGAAACACAATAAGGGAATCCATACTTCTTAGTCCTGAGACTCCATATGCTTCCCTTCAAGAGAATATTGGGAAACTCTACTTCTCAGTAGTCTCACCTTAGAGGAGGAGCATTTTTGGCGATGATAACCAGTTTGGCCTTGCCTTGACGAAGAGTTTTCAAAGTCTGTTTGTACCCCAGACAGTATTTGCCAGACTTCATAACCAACGCCAGGCGTGAGTTTATAGACTCGATGGTCTTTTTCTGTAATGATAAAATAGTTAATGTTAGATGAAATTGACACTGTGAATTAAAAATGCAACTAATTTGGTGGTTGTCTTTAAAAAAAGAAAAGAATGATATAACCTAGAAATAATGTATGGAACGTTCTCAACCTTGCAAATTACAAAATGAGCAAGCCTATCTTGTTTCATGAACATTCTTGGACTGAAATAGTTGGATTACTTGAAAACGTATTTCAAATAACCTCATTTAAAGTCCTATGCATTACACGTGTTCTGATTCATAAGCATAATTACCTGTTTCTTGGCAGCCACCATTGTGATTGATGGATTCCCCACAACTTACTGTAAATAATGTTAAAAAAAATATGAAAATAGTCTAAAATAATTACAAGTTTAAAGAAATGACTCTTAGGATACAATTCCGCACCTTCCGTAACAACGCGTGCAAGGAAAAGAATGATTGAATGAAAGAACACAGCAGTGTTGCTATTTTAAAACTATCGTAAAAGTGTAGTCCACAGAGTCTAGGTGTAGTCCTGCCTTTTGACTATTAAAAACTACCAAAAACAATAGAGCGGTATATTAAATTGAATTAAAATGCTTCAATTAAATTGTTTTTATTTTTTATTTTAATGAACTAAGATCTTTATGAATAATAAAATAAATAATTGTAGGTTGGTATTTCATGTTGATGTAAGTCAGATAATTTATGTTACCTATCGGTTAGCATCGCTCTAGTTCAATTAATGCCAAGAAAATAATTATTTTACTTGACTTCTATGTAAATATAATATGTAGCATATTTATTATTTCCCATATATTAAAACAGGGGTTCCCAAACTCTTTTGTCTACTGCTCATTTTGAGAATAATTTTTTTTAGCGTCCCCATTTTTTCACCTACTTAAAACCATTACCACTAATTAAATTAGTGAATTATTGTGAGCTATATTAGCGGAGCTTAAACATTCATTATAAACGAGACTTTTACTATAACCCGCAAGAGTTTACACAACGGCTCAAGTTAACTCTTACGGGCTACACCTGCCAATCAGAATGATTATTGAAACGCAACTTTATAGTATTCAGACAGGGTATCTTTTATTCAAAATAAAACTAATATAATCGATTCCTATATAAAACTAATGTGAAGGATGAATCTGATGCTGTTTAATAAGTTTGTTGATATCAGGTTTCAATTTACTTTTACAAATTTACAGCCGCAAGTCGCCACGTTCAGTGACATGCAAACGATTTCTCTTTTTAGTACCAGTGCCACAGTACTAAATCCACGTTCACCCAAATATAACGATGGGAATGCTGTCAAGAATCGTTGAACGATTGACCACAATCCACGGTACAATTGTGGGATCGGTTTTAGTAGCCAAAATTCTTGGTAGCCATTATTTCCTCGTTTGTTGTCCGTTCTTCTTCCAGCTGAGGTGACATTGCTGTGTTGATATTTGAAAACGTATTCAACACCCAGTACTGCAGGATACTGATAAATTCGGAAAATTAACAAACTCACGTCTGCCCATATTCTTTTTGTGTTTGGCTGAAGAGAAGAAGCAGTTTGGCTGCGAAAGCAGCAACGACATTTTTTGTTTTACTTAAATTTAGTTCATCGCCCTGCAGTTGTAGATTCATGTCGTCGAACAATTTATACAAGTCTGTCATGTAAACTATATCATTCTTTGATGTAATGAGCTTGTTGCGCAATTCTGTGTCTTTAGTTTCCAAGAACTCTATCACAGATTCAAACAGGTTGTAAAATCGAATCAGACAATTGCCTCTTGATAGCCAACGAACTTCAGTATGAAACAACAAACGGTTGAAATCTTCGTCATGAGTACCTAACACAAAGCTGATGAAATAATTTATCATTGAAAGAGCTGTTACGGATGTTATTAACTGCTCTGATGACATATTGCAGTGATTGAAATCATTGACCTAAGAATACATTTACTTCCTCATTGATTGAAATAGTCGTTCACTTAAGTTTCTAGCAACCAAATGTTGTCTATGAATAACGCAATGTACAGCAAGGACATCTGGAATTTTATTTTTTAAGTTCGCTATGAAGCCTTTATGGCATCCTGTCATAGCCGGAGCAACTGATTTTTTGTATTTTTCAAGGCAATCTCTTTCTCATCATAAAACTTTTCCAATGTATTGAATATGGTTTCTCTAAATTTCTAGCAAACAATATTTCTTCACATATTTTATAATTTTTAAGAAACCTCACGTAAGACAGCAACAATGATTAATAATTAGTTGGTAAAGTGGATTCATCGAGCTGAATTGAGAATTTACTAGTCCTCAGATGATTGCACAATGATCCTTCAATGTTTTTAGCCATTTCATCAATTCGTCTTTGCACAGTATTATTCCTCAAATAAAATTTTCGGCCGGTTTATGAAGCACAGTAGTTATTACTTCCTTTATTGCTGACAAAATTAACTCTTCTTCGATGTTGTGTGGTTTGCATTTTTGAGCAATTAACAGAGAGATATTGTACGAAGCTTGAAGTCTGTCGTCATCTTTCTTAGCAGCCGCCGCAAATAGTTTTGCTACACTGGACTGAGTCTTATGCTTCTTCTCTAAGTCTTGAAAATATGCTGCATTCTTGTCTTTCTTATCTGGATGCATTTTATTCAAATGATCTTGCAGTCTTGATGGCTTGATTTCTTCGTTTGAAAATGTTTTTAGGTATAGAAGGCACAAAGCCGAAGACAGGTTTGTGGGATTTTCAATTATTCGGAATTTAATATATTCCGCACAGTATTGCTGTCTCTTCTTTTTTACTTACGACATTGTTTTGTTTTGAGAAATACGTAAGTAAGTGTTGAACTTACCGACACCGACAGGAATAAGATAAACATGCATAAATTCGTTTATCTCATTCGACGCTCAATCGTACTTAACAAGTAAGGACAAGTAGGTATTCTAAGAACCAGCCGATTAATACAGGAATGCACAAGTCGGGTTATTTAACAAAAACTTGTCAAAACATGATTGCCCGCGGTCTATTATCTACGAAAATGACCTATCTAGGAATAATAATAACTATCAAAATGCGAAAGTGTGTCTGTTGCCTTTTTATTTGTTAGTTTGTGTCTACTTTTATTTCGAAACGGAGCTACCGATTGACATGATTTTTATTTTATTTATTCAATAAAACAGGACAGTTATATAAATTACGCGGAGAGAAATATCGAACCGAGTTTGAGCAATCACTAAATTAATATTAGTCGATGTTCACAAGTTGTAGTCGAGAGTCGAGAGCTCAGTCGGTGTCTAAGAGTCCTCCTAACTAGATGAAATTACAAATGGCCCCCCAAGCCTCTACTCAATGCCCCCATTTTTTTCTGGGTCTCTTACTGCCCCCCCTTTAGGCCTGCAGCGCCCACAAGGGGGTGTTATCGCCCACTTTAGGAAAGGCTGTGTTAAAATAATATGCCTTTACTCTTTTTCTTAACATAACATATGAGATTATGTCTTTTATTTTTATGCACAATACCTTCTCTAAATTTACACAACATATTTTAAATGAAAAAAAAGGATGGTAAAGAAACATATATATCTTTTTAAACTATTGGTAATATCCAAAATCATTAGACTGCGGCTAGGCCATATGTCTATTAATCTTCAGATTTTCCTAACAACATTTTATCAATGTTACAATGTTATAATATAGATGACACTTCATTTTGACTTACATCAAACATTTTACCTAATACAAGATAAGTTGTATTTCTTCTAAGTTTTATTAATAGCATTGGCAACTGATCTACTAACGCCAAGGAAACAACTCCACTCCAACGTAATATCATAATATTATGGGCTATAGGCAATAGAGACCTAAAAATTAAAAAAATGCACAGTCTCGTCATCGGCAAGTAATAGTTCTGCCGGGAACAATCTTGGTATATTAGATGTTTATGTTCCGCAAATGTTGTGGTTTGGCTTAATAGATTCAGGTATTATAGTTAAACCGCCGTAAGCTTGGCCCTCCTGATGGTTTGCGGGACGCGGGGCGGGTGATTCGCTCGGCTATACATGACACGATGTACTAACTCGATATCTTCAGATTTATTTGTTTGAGATTTAATCTACACACGATGTAAAAAAATCGAATTTATTTCCATGTCTTATAATGTCAGTGTATTGTAAGTTTTTATGATTAATTGTAAAATTTAATAGGTGTAAAATAATTTTAATAAAATCACCTTATCTTCATCATGTAAATTATATTCAGATACAATTTAAAAATTAAGTAAAATAATAAATAATCTTTATTAGAACTTTAACAGTAGAACCTCTGTAAGCCGAACTTCAAGTTTTTAAATCTTTTTGTGACGCAGAGTCGGCAGATTATCCATGTTGCAAAATAATACCGTGTGTAGCAGTCTTAAGAAAAATAACACGTACGGCAATACTTTCACGTCAGTCACTGCCGGCGGACAGCGACGCACTAGGTAATTGGTTGAATGCACCCCCGCCCCGCGTCCCCCAAACCATCAGGAGGGCCAAGCTTACGGCGGTTTAACTATAGTAATAGAAGATTGCAGTCTTGAGACACTATATTATCTCTTTCTAGTGGCAATATATTCAATCCAATACTCTTTTTTCTCTAGTCTTCGCGTGCTCAGAAGTTACTCATGTATAGAAAACGGATGGTATAGCATATGGCAGCTTTCTTAAAGAATTTATGTTGATATTTGTTTTTATGAACAATTTGTGACCTTGTGACATTCCAAAGTAAATAGGCAGGTAAGAAATATTATGGAGTGTAAGAATGATTGAAAACATAATAGTCAGAGCTTTATTTATAAGCAGCGCACTTGTGTATTAACGCATTATTATAAAACCCCTCTCAACATAGTGTTAACTAACAGGCTATCCGCATACCAAATCAGTACGATTGTTGCATGCCCTGGATGTAGCTACGATGGCACTTTCTTGGGTCTGATAAGTGTATCATAACATTATTTGACATAATATAAGAGTAGAGGATGGCCAAAAAAATATACATCTACTGCATAAAAGAGGATTTATCTAGAAAGGGAGTAAGTAGCAACTTAGAAATGATAGACGATTTTGAAAGAAGAAAATCATTACGGCGACCCAAAATAAATTTTGAAAAAAGGGCAAGAAGATGATGAATTACTGTGTGCATAATTAAAAACAAATATTAATTAAAACAACACCAATCAAGAGCGAGCAGTTATCGCTTCGACAATTAATAATTTAATAGGAAGTTTTTAGTTTGTAACAAACTTTCCAAGGTTTAAAATTTACTTTTAAACTAACAAAACTAGAAAGTACTGCTACATAAACGAGCATTTTTTTACTTATAAATATACCACCTATTGTATACTTTCGACAAGTAAAGTCATAATCATCAAATCTTCTATCCATTAAACTTTTAGCAGATTCCTGGAGGCTGCTTTGAATAACTCATCATCCATTTTTTACTGGGAAACAAAATAAATTTCGTTTACATCCACACCTGTGGGGGATCAGTGCAAGTAAAACCCAATAAACGATGATATCGAAACACATTGGGTCCGATCCCCGCATGGGACGACACTTTGTGTGATCCATAAATTGTTGTTCTGAGTCTGGGTTTTCTTTGTGTCCGTTTCATGTATGTTTGTAAAGTCCCCCGCGACACAGGATATATTCCTGATATGGATATTTTATTTTTAACACCTATGACATGTACAATTCAATAGTCAGTTGTTTTTACTTTATGACACATATATTATAGCTTGTAGACAGGCATAGATAGTGGCTACGGAGGTGTGCATTGTGCAACTCCTTACGTTATCAACACCTAACCACGGTACAATTATAATACAGTACTGTAACTCGGCCGCATGATAGAAATAAATGCCTACAGCCGCGCGGTACGTAAACATGCGTTAGGGCTGCCCGTCTCCAGCATTTTAATTATATTTGCCTACTTTCTGTTTCTATTTAGATTTGTGATTCAATCAATAAAAATGCGTGTTGTTTTTTGATTGGTAGATTTAATTAAAAAAACATGTTTTTGTTTGAAAAACAAATCGGGCTTATAAATTTGCGACCGAAAAAAATCCTTCTATAAAATAAAATAAATATGCTTTCTCCTTACGCGTTACAAAACTCCAATCCTTAGAAACTCCAACACCTACCTACTCAACTAGCATGCAAGAAACAGCTGACGAGTAAGTAACTTTTTATCTCAGCTTATTAACGTCTCTATAAATTAGGTACCTACCTACAACTCGCAACTACTCAAAACAAAAATTCTTTGGTCACCAATTAATTAATTATTAAAAAGCTGAACAGCTGACTACGAATGTTTTAAAATCACAACCTAGCTCTAGCTGTTGTTGTTAATACCGAGAAAATAAAACCAGTTTTTAGTTTTATATGTTGTTATAGTAGCAGCAGAAACACTTTGTGAAAATTTCGAAAACTGTCTAATGACACACAGACGGTAAAAATTTTTTTTTAGTATTATTCATACACACAGATAATAAACCAATATTATTAATAATAAAATACCACGTCTTTACTTTGAATTATGCAAAGTAACAAATCACACATGCACCGAAGTTTTAACACAAGCGTAAGTAGGTAGGTACCTACCGTATCATGATTCATTCAGAGCCGCATATAACTCCCTATTTAACTCGTCTCAATAACTTTCCGTTACTCTATTTGCTTTATTTATTCATCCAAACACCTTTTTTTTCGTGAGATAAAAGGAAATACTTATCCATTAAAAAGACACACATTATGTACCTACCTACTAGTAAGTAAAATTATTTTATAGTCTTACCTTTCAGTTTCCAGGTAATTTAAAAAAACTTATGTCTGGCTGCGTTATTGACGAATTCATACAACCAAAAACAGCACAATATTTCCTACTCGTCATATTAACTGATTTTTAGAGGAAATATCGCGCGGTTATTGTTAAAAAAACAACACACAGTCCGTTCGACACTGCGGTACAGCCGTGACTGTCTGCGCCCCGAGCGCACCCCGAGATCGAGGCGCGTAGGTATAGCTCGCGTTTCGTCCGTTTGTATGAAGTTGGAGTACTGTATTATAATAGTACCGTGACCTAACTGACCTAACTTCAAATAGGTCGACAAAATATAGGAGTAACTACTCCATTATGCTGATTGGTTAAATCAAGAGTTTGATAGAGTTTGTGTATATGTTGCTGATTGGTGTATTAAAAGTCGTTTCGTCTCACGTTATTTCAATTAGTAACTTTGAAAAAATAAGATTATTTTACATGTCATTTTTACGACATAGTTTCTATAAATGTTATATATTTATACACATATATCGTCGTTGTTTAGACGTAGTTGGGTCGCAAACCGGAAAACACCTGATTTATGAAAATACGACCTTTTGACGTAAGCATGAAAACGTAATCAGTTAACTGTCAGATTTAGTCGAGTTGCGCGACTGTTTGTTCGATCATGTTATAGCAAACTACAACTTTTCTGTTACGAAGCGCTGATTTGAAGTTGTAGTTTCTAATATTCTTATAAGTAAACGTTATTTCCTCTTCGAGAAATATTGAAAATCAACAATAACAAAAAAACAAACTACCATGACTGAAAAAAAATCTAAAAAAGGAAGAAGTTCGGGTACTTCGGCTTCTGCTAAAGTCTACCTGATACTATATAATAGTATCCAAACTATAGGGTAAGCTTTTAAATACCTTATTAATACAATCAATGCATGTACTAAGCAATTTATTTTAAGGACCTATAGCTTGAATAGTTTTTATTTTTTAATTAAATGTCTTGAGACAAATCCTATTTCAAAACACTCAAATATGCGTTCTCTAACTACTTATTATTTACTACATGAACTTATTAATAGTTTCGCTTAAAAAGGCTTAAATATATTCTTTGAAAACTAGGTAGCATCAATTTCCAGAGTATTCATAAAATTATAAAGGTGAAAGTAGTTGAAACAAAGTTTCACCTTTCGTGTTTACTTTCATTCTATTTCAATTCAATACAGAAGTTTTTTTGTATATTCTTATGCCAAGAAACAAGTACAGCAGCCACCTGTTTATGTTTATTGTATCAAAATGCTTATTAATACTAATGATGAAAGAGATATAATTCCTGAGAACCCTGGGATATGAGTGTCAACACTTCATCTTCAGTATCACAAAACTTCATCATTTATAATCTTATCATGGGTTCTACTATTAAATATTGAATTTTATGGTAAGGATGTGCTTCACTAATCAGGTAGTAAACCTCCTTTCTAAGGAGAGGCCTATGTCCAGCAGTGGACTATTAAAAGCTGTTGATGTGGATCACGTAGTATCAGTTTGAGTGGCTTTGCCTAACCTCTTCCAAGTCTATTTATACATTTTATGTTTCTTTTAAATAAGTAGACTGCCACCTTTCTTAACTGCACTCCTAATTTATATAATAATAATAATAATAGGCTTATGACTCTGTACCGCATACGTGGCTCTTGAGGGTGATGGAGTTGTACAAGATTGATACAACTCTATGCACTTTTATGGAGACATGTATGTGGCAATGGAGAACGGTTCTTTGCTATCCAGGATGTCGGCAATCTCAAGGCGATGGCGAATATATAATGATTAAGCGGGGTATATTTCAGGGTGACAGTTTAAGTCCCTTGTGGTTTTGCTTAGCTTTAAATCCTCTCAGCACTATGTTGGAGGGTTCAGAGCTAGGCTATCGTTTGCAGAGAGATGGTAAGGTTATATCCCACCTCCTTCACATGGATGATTTAAAACTGTTTGCTTCCAGTAGTTCCATACTGATGAATTTACTAGAAATAACTAAAACCTTTAGTAAATGTATCAGGATGGAATTTGGTGTAGTAAAGTGTGCAAGCATGCATGTAAAAAGAGGCAGGGTTGTGGAGTCTGATAGGTTGGAACTCTCAGATTCCACGCACTTTACATGTCTCTCAGCTAACGAAACTTACAAATATCTGGGTATGTCACAGGCGTCAGGTGTAAATGAGTTGACTATGAAATAATCGTTACAGGAACGCTTCTTTAGCCGCCTGAAAAAAGTATTAAATAGTCTTTTATCAGGTGGTAATAAGGTGAGAGCCTATAATGATTCGGTCATACCAGTTCTAACTTACTCTTTTGGCATACTTAGATGGACTCAGACTGAACTAGATAGAAGAGTTCGTACATTGCTTACTGCATACCGAATGCATTATCCACGTTCATCGGTGATGAGGTTATATATTCCACGAAAATGTGGTGGTCGTGGTTTTCTAAATGCCAAGACCCTCCACAATCGTGAGATATGTAACCTTAGGAATTACTTCCTTTCTGTTAATGTGGATATCCATAGGGATGTAGTAGCAGTTGATAACGGACTCACTCCGCTTGGTCTAGGTAAAGAGAACTGGCGCAAATTTGCAGTACTCAACATTACTGATCGTAAGGAGATATGGAAGGGCAAAGAGCTGCATGGACGTTTTTATCGAGCCTTGAACAGGCCTGAGGTGGATCAACTAGCGTCTGTATTCTGGCTTCGATTCGGTGACCTCTTCGGGGAAACTGAAGGTTTTGTCTTTGCAATTACTGATGAAGTTGTTTGACGAATAATTATCGGAAGTATATCCTGAAGGACGGCACAATAGACATTTGTCGGGCATGTCATTGTCCTGGTGAAAGTCTTAGACATATAATTTCCGGTTGTTCTCGTCTTGCCAACGGCGAGTACTTGCATAGACATAACCAAGTGGCCAGAATTGTCCATCAGCAACTTGCTCTTAAGTATAACCTTGTGACTGTAGAGTTACCGTACTACAAATATGTGCCCGACCCAGTTCTTGAAAATGGTCGTGCAACGTTGTACTGGGATCGCCCTATTATCACTGACAGGACTATTGTTGCCAATAAACCTGATATAGTGTTAATAGACCGATTGGAGCGCCGAGCAATGATTGTTGACATAACCATTGCACATGACGACAATCTCTTGAAAGCTGAAAAAGATAAACAAGTGAAGTATTTGGATTTAGCCCACGAGATTGTCGACATGTGGGATGTTGATTCGGCAATCGTTGTACCGATAGTCATATCGGCCCATGGATTAGTTGCTAAGAGCCTCGACCAACATCTTCAGAGGCTCGCGTTAGGCAGTTGGATTAAGGGTCTGATGCAGAAAGCAGTTCTTCTCGATACGGCACGTATTGTGAGGAAGTTTCTGTCTCTGGAGTCCTAACCACCGATATCTTGGTCTCTGTACCCGATACCGATGGGATACTATTTTTTATATTTTTAAATGTATTTTTTTTTGTTTTTGTATATAAATATATTTAAAAATGTAATTTATATGTATAAAGAATGAAATAATTTGCCCATTCATAAACGAAATTTAGATAATAGCGAAGATCTTAGTGATACACATTCTATTCTATACTGTGCGGCTATTGCAGTTTGTCGAGTGGCTGGTGTTAAAATAGCTGACAATGTCACTACTACTCGACCTAAATCTATTGTACCAGCTTGGCAGTATAGAATTGAACGTTGTATTTCTGAGACCAGGACACTCATCGGTAAGCTTATTAGCTACCGATCAGGGAATACGCGGCCGAGAGTGATGCGCTTTGTGAAACAGGCATTCTTGGGTACTACCATTAGTCCTGAGCAGTACATGTCATGTGTCACAGAGCGCATAGACTTTCTAAAGCAGAAAATTTATGCATGGGCAAATAGGATAAGATGGTATAAAAAACGAATAGATCGGTATAATCAGAATCAGATGTTCCAAAGAAATGAGAAGTGGGTGTACCGGAAATGGGAGGAACCGGATCCGTGTGTGGGTGATAGGCATTTGCCTGATGAAAATGTCACAAATACAGTTTGGCGTAACATCTGGTCGGTGCCTGTCACTCATATAGAAGGTGATTGGTTGCAGGATGTCAGATGCTCATGTGAGTCTATAACACCTATGGAACCTGTTATAATTGATAAAGATGATGAAGTTGTGCAGTTCGTTCATTACCGAATTGGAAATCACCTGGTCCAGATGGACTGCACAACTTTTGGCTTAAGTGGTTCCGAAGCTCACATGCGCGTTTGGATTCGGGTTCATTACCCCAATTTTTAACCACTGGCATAACCCACTTACTCTATAAGTCTGGTAGTGTCATGGATCCCAAAAATCTTAGACCTATCACATGTTTACCTACCATGTATAAACTTCTAACATCTATTCTGAGACTCAAAATAACTTTACATATTAATAATACGAGGGCGGGTTAATAAGTCCGTGACTTTTTGAATTTCTGACCTCTTTACTGAAAAAGCAACACTACTCCTGTCAACAGGCATCTGTCAGTTGACTCCTGTCAAAATTTGAACTTGCTGCGTCAGTTCTACCCAGTAATTTGAGGAAAAAATGGAAAAAAGTGAATTTCGTGTGCTTATTAAGCATTATTTTTTGCGAAAAAAAACCATTACCGAGACCAAGGCAAGCTTGATAAATACTATGGGGACTCAGCACCATCGATTTCAATTGTAAAAAAGTGGTTTACTGAATTTCGTTGTGGCCGTACAAGCACTGAAGATGCCGAACGTTCTGGATGCCCAGTTGAGGTCTGTTCACCCGAAACAATCGAAAAAATTCACGATATGGTGTTGGCCGACCGAAGATTGAAAGTGCAAGAGATTGTGGAAGCCGTAGGGATCTCGCATGGCTCAGTCAGTCAGTCAATTTTGAATGATTACTTGGGCATGAGAAAGCTTTCCGCAAGATGGGTGCCGCGATTGCTCACAGTCGACCACAAACGCAATCGTGTAACAACTTCACAGGAAGGTTTGGCGTTGTTTAATCGCAATATGGAGGAGTTTTTGCGCCGTTTTGTAACCGTGGACGAAACATGGATCCATCACAACACACCAGAGACCAAACAACAGTCAAAACAGTGGGTTTCTAAGGGTGAATCGGCGCCAAAGAAGGCCAAGGTGGGTTTGTCAGCCAATAAAGTTATGGCGACTGTCTTTTGGGATGCACGCGGAATAATCCACATTGACTACCTTCAAAAGGGAAGAACAATCAATGGGGAATATTATGCCAACCAAATATTATGACCGATTCAATGACGATTTGAAAAAAAACCGATCTCATTTGGCCAAGAAAAAAGTTCTATTCCACCAAGACAATGCCAGGGTGCACACATGTGCAGTTGCCATGGCAAAAATCCATGAATTGCTCCCTCATCCGCCCTATTCTCCAGATTTGGCTCCGAGTGACTACTTCTTGTTCCCAAACCTGAAGAAATGGCTTGGTGGAAAAAGATTTGACTCCAATGATGAAGTCATCTCGCAAACAAAGGCCTATTTTGAGGACCTCGACAAATCATATTTTTTGGAAGGGATAAAAAAATTGAAGAAGCGTTGGACAAAGTGTATAGAGCTCAAGGGAGACTACGTTGAAAAATAAAATGATTTATTCATCAAAAAATCTGTGTTTTATTCCAAAAGTCACGGACTTATTGACCCGCCCTCGTAATTCGATTATGTCAGTTTCTCAGAATGGATGTAGAAGTGGGACCCGTGGCACTAAAGACCTTATCATAGACATGACCATTAGCCAACAGGTACGTCGTAATCGTAAGAGTTTGGCGACGTGTTGGATAGATTATAAGAAGGCTTATGACTCGGTTTCACACACATGGCTTTTGAAGGTGCTGGAGTTGTATAAAATTGATACAACTTTGTACACTTTCTTGAAGTCATGTATGGGGCAATGGAGAATAGCACTTCGCTATCCAGGATGTCGGCAGACGGCGATACACGATGTACTAATAAAGATCGAGCGGGGTATATTTCAAGGTGATAGTCTGAGTCCCTTGTGGTTTTGTCTGGCTTTGAACCCTCTTAGCACTTTATTAGAGGGTTCAGGGTTAGGCTATAGGTTGCAGAAAGATGATCAAGTTATATCTCACCTTCTTTATATGGATGATTTGAAACTGTTAGCCTCCAACAAATTACAATTGACAAAGTTACTAAAGGTGACGGAAAACTTTAATAATTCTATCAAAATGAAATTTGGTGTAGACAAGTGTGCAGTCATGTATGTAAAGAAGGGTGTGATAGTTGAATCTGAAGGAATAGAGCTTTCAGATTCACCAAAACTCAGATCTCTGTCTGCCACTGAAGTATCTGGGTATATCACAGTCGTTGGGAATACCAGAATCTAACATGAAACAAACATTGCAGGAACGCTTTTTTGGCCGCTTGAAAAAAGTACTTAAAAGTCTTTTGTCAGGGGGCAACAAGGTACGAGCCTGCAATGGTTGGGTCATGCCGGTTGGGACTAATAACCCAACCAACTAACCACCCACACGCCCACCACTGTAACTCCTGTACACCAGGATCCACAGCAGTGACCCACGAACACACCGAGTTATGACACTCGGGAAGTCCCAGGAAGAAATTAAACTGTCTTCTAACCCGCAACGAAATTAATCAGAAGAAAATTGGAGGAGTTGGAAATACAGTAAATCCACTTCCCTCCTTAGCAAAGCGGGAGACAAAATGAAGTAAAATGGGCATACACCCTTTTAAACAAGGAAGTACCACGGCCACAAATATTACGACGGTCCTACGTGAGCTATGTTTGTTGTCTATAATATGTATGGCAGAATCGCCTAAACGCACGGAAATTCACCTTAGTTGACACAAGATCCCCATAGTATACCGCCCCTGATGTCACCTGCAAGCTATTCAGCATTATATTACGTTCATTATACCAAAGACTACATTCCCAGAGGATATGATGAGCAGACTGTTCATAGTGAGAGTTAGGTGTTGAGCATTGACACAATGGTGACTCGACTAATTCAAATGAATAAAGCTTGCTCTTAAAGTTACCATGAGGTCATGCCGGTTCTGATGTATTCCTTTGGTATACTTAGATGGACTCAGACCGAATTAGATGCCCTTGACAGGAAAGTCCGTCCACTGCTGACTGCATCCCGAATGCACCACCCACGTTCATCGGTTATGATATTGTATATCCCGCGAAAGCTTGGGGGTCGCGGACTATTAAATATCAACGCCCTACATAATCGCGAGATATGCAATCTCAGAGAATATTTTCTACATACTGATGTGGGAGTGCATCGCAATGTAGTTGCAGTGGATACCAGATTCACCCCGATCGCTCTGACTAAAGAGAATTGGCGCAGACCTGTAGTACTTAGTGTTAATGATCGCAGGGAAGTATGGAAGGGCAAAGAGCTCCATGGTCGGTTTTATCGGGCCCTAAACGGGTCCGATATAGATTTAAAAGCATCTACGACTTGGCTACGGTATGGTGATCTCTTCGGAGAAACTGAAGGTTTTGTTTGTGCGATTATGGACGAAGTTATCATGACGAATAACTATCGGAAATATATCCTGAAAGATGGTACGGTTGACATCTGTCGGGCATGCCACCGTCCTGGCGAATCAATCAGGCATATTATTTCCGGTTGTTCTCGTCTTGCTAACGGCGAATATTTGAACAGTCACAACCAAGTAGCCAGGATCGTACACCAACAGCTTGCCCTTAAATACCATCTTGTAAATCTAGAGGTGCTATAGTACAGGTATGTTCCCGACCCAGTTCTCGAGAATGGTCGGGCCACGTTGTATTGGGATCGATCTATTATCACAGACAGGACTATTGTTGCCAATAAGCCTGATATTGTGCTGATAGATCGATTAGAGCGCCGCGCAATGATTGTTGATATCGCCGTTCCTCATGACGAGAATCTCGTGAAAGTTGAAAAAGAAAAACAAATCAAATATTTGGAGATTGTCGATATGTGGAATGTTGATTCAGTGATCATTGTTCCGATAGTCGTATTTGCTCACGGATTGATAGCCAAGAGCCTCGACCAACAAACACCTTAAGAGGCTCACGTTGGACGGTTGGATCAAGGGTCTGATGCAGAAAGCAGTCCTCCTTGACACGGCTCGTATAGTGAGGAGGTTCCTATCTTTGGAGTCCTAACCACCGGTGTCTTGGTCCCTGTACCCGATTTCGGTGGTCCAATATTTTTTATATTTTTAAATGTATTTTTACTTGGTTTAGACCCGTAAATACGGTGGAACCAGCTAAAAAGCTGAGAAAATAAAAATTAAAACACAAAATAATAATAATAATAATAAGCCCCTTATTCTGAATTAGTACATACAATGTTAAACAGTTTAGAAGTTAAGTTTATAAAATATATCTTAATTCAGAGTGCCTCTTGGCATAGGCCTCCTCTAGCACTTTCCATTGGGTTCTGTCTCGCTCTACCCTTCTCCAGTGATGTCCAGCTGTTAGCCTCAGGTCATCTGCCCATCTCGCTCGTTGGCATCCTCTGTTTCGTTTGCCATCTCTGGGGTACCGCAGATAGTTGTACTCTATTTGCCATGCCTGTCCCTAATTATGTGTCCGGCCCATCTCCACTTCAATTGATCTATTCTAGTGAGAACAGCAACTCTAGTTTTTTGTCTTATTGTACTGCTTCTTATTTTGTCCATCCTCCTTATTCCTGTCATGCTTCTCTCCATGGCCCTCTGACAACATTCCAGTTTTTCTCTGTGGAGTTTGGTGAGTGCCTATGTTTCACAGCCATAGGTAATGACTGTGTGTTGAAAGCCTTTCTTTTTATAGACATGTTTAACTCGTTTGACTTCATGATTTCTTTCAGCGACCAGTATTTTTTTATCTTCTATTTATTTCTTTAGTTGTAAATAGAAGAATAGCAATTTATATATGTATATCTCAGTTAATTGAAAAAGTTTGAATTAATGGCTCTGATAATGAAAGTTATGGAGATGAAAAAAGTTCTTTAGCACTTTGCGATTAGACATAATAGGTGTTTTGTAATGGACTATTTATATAGAGATACTAGCTGATCCGGCAAACGTTGTATTGCAAACAAAAAAAAATTAGGGATGGGTCACCCTTACCATTTATTGGTATGAAAAATAGATGTTGGCCGATTCTCAGACCTACCCGATGTGCACACAAAATTTCATGAAAATCAGTCAAGCCGTTTCGGAGGAGTACGGGAACGAACTTTGTGACACGAGAATTTTATATATAAGATTTGTCTCTACATTAATATGTGGTTGTTATTCATTCATAATTGTCTTTTCAAAGTTAGCCCTTTTTTATATTCCGTGATTGATTCTAAAGTAAAAATGAATAAATTTTGATTAATTCCTAAAGCAATTCATAAAAGGTGACTGTGCTTAAGGATTGCCTGTAAATATAACATAAACACATATTAATTGTTTCAGATGGACATACATGCTATTACGTTCAGTATTACACTTCCTCGACCGCGGTACTTTGGACAGCTATTGGGGTGTAATCAAATGGACTGTTATAATATTTCAAAATGCTGCGGTACTTGAGGTAAGTGTTAACACAAAATTTGATTTATTAGATATTGATAAATTATTAATTAGTTGCCTGTTTAATAAACTAAACTATAATAAACGGTTAAATTAAGAATACTCAGCCATGAAGTTGGGAAGGTCTCAACTGAAAGAAAAGTTTTAATTTTATCCATGTAATGAATGCTGTGTTGTCACATCGGAAAAAAATATTTGTTCCATATGGTTTTTGTCACCCATATGAACATGATCAATCAGTAATACATACATAGCAAAGGAAACCAACATATAATATTATTGAATCCAAAATTTAAGAATCTATCCTAAAACTATTTATGGAGGAGTGTGGAGTTCTCCATAAATAGTTGAAGAGCTTTAAAAGATAATTGCGGGGAGTTTGAATTATTTTTAACCAACTTAAAAGGCAATTGGTAGAAAAATCAGGAGTAATTTAAACTGCATCCATTTGCATTAAGCATGAGTAAAACTGGACTGACGAATAACAAACGTACACACACATTCAGATTGACCAACTTTTCTTTGAAGTTGGTAAGTAAATAAATTAATGGAGAAAGAGAATTTCTAAATTAAGTTTATTTATGTTTTAGTTTGTGTTCACATATTTGAGTGTACTCATTTTTGTCAATAATTCATAACTCTTTCACAAACTAAATGTTCAATTTGCTATAGCTGATTATTGACGATTGTAACCATCTATTGAGCTACTGACACTGTTGGTATATTAATATAATTTTATAATATTCATTTACCTACACTTCGACACATAGAAAACATGTTACGTACAAAACAAAAGGCATTCAATTCAATTAGGTAAATAAATTGTACTCCATATGTTTGATTTTATTAACCTGAGCTTCTCACATAATTTATAATGTTCGCAAATAGGTACTATTAAACAGGTTCCGATTGGCTCTCAACAATCTTAGGATAAGCGTAGATGGCATAACCTTATTCTTGCTTAACTCGTAACATGTATAATCCCACGATAATACAAACACCACAATATTAAAACAACATAACATGCATTTCTGAAATAAATAGTGTAACACCAAATGAATGAAACAACATAGTCCATAAATACCCCGTTATGAATACTAGCGGTAGTGTCATTGACCATCTTGTTTAAAAATAAAAAAATAACGGCAGAACCATGAAGTTAAAATAGGATGAAAGTGATCTTGTTAAATTAAGATAATATTTCCATATTGTTCTATATCATACTTGGGCTTCGGCTATTTCAATTATATAACCTAAAACCAAAACACACAACCCAAATTAATAATAACTTGGTGTTATTTTAGAACATCCGGTAAATAAATACTAATCATAAAGTATAAACTAGTAGTAGTTAATATGCTGTCTACAATTATTTATGTATTTAACCTAACACTACTTGTTCATTTCAAGCATTTATGTGCATAATTTATCGAACTTTGTACTGAACAAAGTCCATAACTTTGACTGACTAAATTAACACCCACCTCTTACAATAATACTTGAAAAGAACAATTTAGAGAACGTCACACGTCATGTAGTTTAAAACGTACCTACTCATCGTAAAGCCGAAATACAGAGAACTAATAAATTGTAAAGTTCAGATTGAATTTATTCATTTAATAACGAAAATAAATAAACAGTAAAGCGATGTCAATATTTTGTTTAAATTAAATTAGTATATAGCTCAAAGTTGATAATGTTATCAACTTTGAGCACAACTTAGCTTTCCACGCATGTAGCTTTCCATTGGTAAAAGAATTTTCAATATCGGTTTTGTGGTTTAGGCGTGAAAGCACAACAAACAAACTTTCACATTTATAATATACAATTTAACATGATTTAGGCACAGGCATACTGTACGATAGCATTTGTGTGATGTCACGGCCTCACAAAAAAGACAAGTAATTCTTTAGTTGCTTTTCACCGAGTAAGCGAGGTTACCGGAACCCTAACTCCCCCACCCTTGATTCTGGGCGAGGGGACCTTAAGGCCGTCAACGTTTTTTTTTTTACAATAATTACAATATGTTAGTTGTATTACAGACGGATATGCACAATGGGCGGCCTTATTGCTACGTTGACATTGCATACTTAACATTAATAAACAAGTTGATTGTTTCGAACAAGATGGAATGTACCAGAGCGTACCCACGAAACTCAAATTTTAAATAGTTTTTCATTGAGTAGGCCTTGTTAAAGCACTTTCAAACGCCAATAGTGGTAATCATCGATTGCACCTGGTTCATTTAAAATAAAGAGGAGTTAATTTTTAAGTACAAGTTTAAAAAATTGTTATATTACATGTGCTAATATAGATGATTTGGTATTGCTTTCAATGATAAATGTACGACTATACACCATCTATCTATGCGTAGCTGCATTGCAAATAGTCTTCGAAACACACGGTCGTGTTTAAATAACTACTTGTTAAACACTCAGTTCAAAGGTTGCGCAATGCATATAACTTGCTAACTATCTTTAACGATTCTATGGTTTAGTACTATAATTTAATAAATTACTCGTTTAGTATTCAAGCCTCAATTATTCAATTACAAACAAAACGTGGGAGCTCATCAACAACCCATTGTGTGATTAACACGGTACAAAAAGTCAAAGACGCTTTGGCGATTATGTTTATTACATTTAATTATATTCATGTTTCATTAAGAATAGGAGTTTTATAAACATTATATTAAACATATCACAGGCTAAGGTAGTGTCAATAGTGAAGAGTCCGGATGTCTTAATGACAGTTCTCGCATCCCTCCTATTACCGGCGCAGAGTGGCACAGCTTGTGGTTTTATTTGGTCCGATTCCGACACACCACCCTGCCGCAAATCCCGTCAGGGTGACGGCCCGAGGGGGTTTCCACACATGAAAAAAAAAGTGTCAATAGTGACACGGAGAATGAAGATATCCCCTGAGTAGAGAGTCGGCAAGTGCCAAACTACAATATGTCAATAACAAAATATGCCATTCGAAGATTGTTAGTCTGGCTTGCTGGCTGAAGCTTAGGTCTCTCTATTTTAAGTATCAGCCAAACAAATTGTAAAACCTCTTAATTTTTTATTCCAATCTGTAAGCAATAAATTTGTAATTCTGATCTGTAAAATAAACAATAAAATTATAGTTTTTTTATGTTTGTATTTCCTGACAAAGCATCAATGCCGTGTAACTTTTTAAAACTGAACTTATAAATATGACTACATATACTTTGCCTATTACGTTACAATTTCTTTGATTTCTTTTTACAGATAGTGCACTCAATAATTGGCCTCGTCCCGTCAGGTGTAGCGGTGGTCTTGCCGCAAGTGTTCTCAAGGGTCTTCCTAGTGTGCGGTTGTCTAATGGTTACAGAAGCGGCCACCGTAAGCCCTGGCCTTCCTCTTTGTATCTTTGCTTGGTCTATCACAGAAATTATCAGATACACCTACTATACCCTGAATTTGATTAACAGTATTCCACAACCTTTACTGTTCCTAAGGTAAGTCTTTTATTTACAAGTTTGATAACTAGGTACACATAATTGGCACTTATTCATTAACTAAAATAGTAATGTAATAAACAAAACAAAGATACTATATTTCTTAGAGAGTAATCATCTTCCTCGTCCCATTTCGCGTGTGTCTGTCACGCTCCGCAACTTGTGTATAACACTAATTAGGCAATTACCCAATAGCGGTACAGATCTACATAAATCCACGTTTAAATGCTTCAGGTCATTATACTCTTTTTTGGTAAATATTCAGTGCCGTGATCGTGTGACTGGGCTTCTTATAAAACATTCATACGGTTAAACTAAACAAAACTTTCAAAAAGCAAGCCAAGTGTGTTATTACTTTTTTATATGATACTAGCTGGTGCTGGCGACTTCGTTCGCGTGGAATTTGAAAAGCGTTGCCTTTTATAGGGGTTTTCTGAGAGAAAAAATAGCCTAAGTTACTCCTTATATAGACAGCTACCTGGTAGTAAAATATTACCAAAATTGGTCCAGCCGTTTTGACGATTACCCGGAAGAAACAGACAGACAGACAAAAAAATAAAAAAAATTGGCTTTTAGTAATGCAGCATGAAAAAAACCTATTATTTTGACATTACAAACAGACACTTCAATTTAATTTATTTGTAAGGATACTTATGCAAAACAAAAGAAAATTCTAAAGATCGAAACGTTTTCCCTTTCATTTAATAAAGAGTAATTGTTTGATGTGGCAGGCACATGTCGCATTAGTAAATATCAGAACTGAATTATACCTGAATCTCTATGCTTATTAGGTAGGTACTTATAAAAAGCCAAGTAGCTATTTGGCTATAGGCTTTCTTGAGTGAGAATTCCGGTTTAAAGGTTGCAAAGGTTTTTTGTTTTCATCGACTGGATGGAGTGTAACTAACTGATATATGCTTGAAAATATATGAATGTGAGGTGGAAAACCTATTAAAAAAAAACGGTTTTGGTAGTTTTTAGTTTTAAAGCTGTATGAAATAAAAATAAATTGACAAAGTAAGGTAACTGGAAGTTTAAAAATAATATAAAAATAAATTTGTAAGACTAATAAAACACACTCTATAGTATTACAGGTAAATTAGCTTGGAGAAATTTTTGCGTTTGTAGTAGTGTATGGTCACGTGGCACCTGCGGACAGCGTCAACTGGTTTATTCTGGTTTTGTGCGTGTTTCCACTTTCCACTATCAAGTGACGATTTTTTGCTTTAGATTGAAATATCTCGGAAACGGTGCGTCCTAGGCCAAAAATAACAAAAATTTTGACCCCCTCGTAGACCCCCGGAGTTTTAAAAACCTAGATGAAAGGAAAAAAAAAAAAATATCGGTCTCTCCTCTTTGAAGTTTTTATAAAGTCAAAACCTTTTCCTTTAAAATAAAAACTTGTTTTTATTGAAAACAAAAATCAGAGTGTTGCTAGGGATAAGTATAAAATTAAATAGTAATGTTAGGATATCGAAACATTTTTGTATAGGCCAGAACGATATAGTGGAAACTCGCTCTAAGATCTGAGTAATATACACACCAATACATATGCAAAAATTTCTCGAGACTAATTTCACTGTACTATGCTAGGTTTTACCTTACAGCAGTTACCTTACTTTGTCACTTTATTTTTATTTCATACAGCTATCGCGTTGCAATTTAATTTTATTCATACACGGTCATTAAGGCGATCACATAACTGACAGTGATCTGATAAATTTAACTATACTGATAGCGTTGATTTCCGTGTATGAAAATAAATTACAAACAAAACGTGGGAGCAATAGCAATGCGGCTGTGTGCTTTGGTTGAAGTCTGTCACACCGATTATCAATAATTCACTTTTAAAATAAATAAAAAATATTAACATAGAGTTGTGTATGAGAGGGTACGATGGAATTGGCGTATTGTTGTGGATAAAAACCTCTTTAAAAAAGAAACATAATTACATTAAAATAATACTAAATTATTGCTCGTGTGCTGATGGATTAAGAATACGGAGGGTCACCACCCCTATTCATCCCGTGGGTGTCGTAAGAGCCGATTAAGAGAACAAACTACGCAGGAAAACAGCATTGCAAAGAGAAAGAAAACTTGAAACAAACCCTATACCAAACCGTCTGGCCAGCACACACGTAAAGTGATATGATAAAGTGAAATGAGACATAATAATAATATTCGGCAATTATTTTTACAAGTAATTTGTCTATCTCGCACCACGTCATGTGGGAAATCTGACAAAACAGTGAACATCCTTTAACACGTGCCTTTTTTGTTCCAGATATTCGACATTCCTGATCCTCTACCCTATTGGAGTAACAGGAGAACTAATGTGCATGTATCACTCACTTGACGAAATTAATGAGAAGCAGCTTTTCACCATCTCCATGCCCAACGCATGGAATGCAGCATTTAACTATTACTATTTCTTAATCTTTTACATGTTCTTGTACATTCCCATTTTCCCCTTCCTGTTCGGTCATATGTTAGCTCAGAGGAGAAAAATGCTTGGCAATGATGCTAAGAGGGTAAAGTAAAATAATATATTAAAACAAAACATCTACCTCACTCATCACATTGATGAGTTTTAAGTTTAGACGAATCTCTATTTTCAATCAGTCTTTAATTTAGGTAGAATATTTATGTGATGACTTCATAGTACAGCCAAAAATATTTTCTACAACTTTTATAACAAAATTCGTCATTGCACTTAAGTGACGTTATCAAAAAAAAAAGGGAATTGTTTTATGACGCTTTCATTATTGCTACGTAAGCAATGGTGGAGAAATAAATAATATACACAGAAAGTTACAAAGTCTGCTGCTTATTCAACATAATCATTATGTTACCCATAATGCAGCGTTCCGTGAGTATGCTCCTGTGATCTATTGGTCAACCGCTACAAATAAAACGCTTTCGATTTCTAGACACGTTATATTTTTTTCCTGAACTAAGGGGTTCTATTGTGTGTCCCTGGATAACAAAGGCTAATTAGTCCATTGTTAATTCTGAACATTTTTTGATATACGCAAATTAACATTAGTTAATTATATACTTATCTGACGCATTCATTTCCTTTAAATTAGCGATGAGAACAGAAAGAAGTTATTATTCTAAATAAAATACTCGTTTTATCACAGGTACCTAAAATACAACATTATTTTTATTGTCCTAAATCGATGACCAAATTATATTAGGTCTTTGCCTATGAAATTGCCGTTTTGTATGCAATAAGTGAAAGTAATTATTCTTTCAAACTTTTTTATTTCTGTTATTCGAAGTTATCACCCATGCAATCGACGCATCTTTGCCAACGCATTGGCAGTTTATTGATGCCCTTCTTGTAAAAATCAGCTGGACGGGAGGCAACAAACTCTTCAAAGGCATTTTGTACTGCCTCTCGGGAATTGAATTTTTTACCCACTAAAAAGTTGTCTAAACTTTGGAATAAGTAATAGTCGGTAGGTGCAAGGTCTGGTGAGTATGGCGGATGAGGGAGAGCTTCCAACCCCAGCTCTTGCAGCTTGGAGACTGTCTGTTGCGCAGTATGGGGTCGCGCGTTGTCGTGAAGGAGCAGTGGGGACGACCGATTGACCAAAGCTGGTTGCAGATGTGACCACCAGACCTTGCACATACCGACTAAGTATTACTTTTTTTTTTGTACTGCCTCTCGGGAATTGAATTTTTTACCCACTAAAAAGTTGTCTAAATTTTGGAAAAAGTAATAACAAGAAGGGCATCAATAAACTGCCAATGCGTTGGCAAAGATGCGTCGATTGCATCGGTGATTACTTCGAATAACAGAAATAAAAAAGTTTGAAAAAATAAGTACTTACACTTATTGCATACAAAACGGCAATTTCATAGGTAAAGACCTAATATATTTTTTTATAATAACTACGAATTGTGAGCATCCGATGATTTAGGTTTATGATTTAAAAATAATGTTGTAGAAGCATGTATTGGGAATAGTGGTTGAATTAGATAGGTAATTATTTATTTATAATTTTGGGAGCCTGGTGCATTATAATTTAGATAGTTTTATGGATTGGTGCTAATAGCTACAACATACAAGTTAAAGCGAATTTTCATAGTTTTTCTATACTTAATTTTTTCTTTACTGCCGGTTTCGAAAAGATTCTTCAGCTTTGTAATGATAAAAAGATTAATAAACATATTTTTTGGAAGCCCAGTGGAATTAAAAAATCTGAATTCTTCGAGATAAAGTGTGTTTGTACTACATACATAAGTAACGTAAAATAACACGTAATAGATACATGCATGTGGCCAAACAAATCTCTATGCAAAAAGAACTTCTAAAACTACCGTAATGTCTTTATCTAAAGCTTACCTATCGATAACTTAAAGGTAACCAATTCCTTCTACTTAATATATTCTTAAACGTAACTATAGAATTTCAAGTTAAATTAGCAACAGTTCTTAAACTCGTGCTTAATTGTAATATGTAATCATAAGTTTATTTGGTTATGGGCAATGACGTAAATAAATTTTTGAATAAGCAAACTGCGTTTTATTTACATAAGTTGACTTCAGAAAGCCTATGTACTAGGCTAGATATTTAAACGAAGACTGAAGAGAAATAAGGGTACGAGGACCAATTACCGAGGACGCTACTGATTCCAGTCAACAGGTAACGACGAAAACCTATTTTTACCTTTTTAGGGTTTTGTAATAGTACTAAGAACCCTTAAAAATTCGCCAGGTCTGTCTGTCCGTCCGTCCGCGGCTTAGATTAGAGACTTAGTATACATAATTTATTTTATTTTTCAAGGCGTAACTAGATGTCACTGTTCAGTCTTTTTACATCTCATGAGCCCGTTTTAAATAATTACTGACCGTTTAACCGTGAAAATACTCCTCCTAAGTCAGCATTCTGTAACCAGCGGCTACGAAACCCATACACTGCGCATGGCCTGACATGCGCTAGACCGCTTTCTTATATTTTGTTTAGTACCTACTAGTAATATTACTGAATATCTGGTTGCTGTTTAATCCTTGGTATTTTTTTATGTTAGAAGAGCAGATGGGTCACCTGATGGAAGGTGACCATCGCCGCCCATGAACGTCTGCAACTCAGGAGTCAGAAACGCGTTGCCGGCCTTTTAGGAAAGAGTACGCTCTTTTCTTGAAGGTCGTATCGGTCCGGAAATACAGCAGACGATAACCCGTTCCACAGATTGATTGTGTGAGGCAAAAATGTCTTGAAAAGCGCACAGTAGTGGAGCGCCAACTATTCAGGTGATTGGGATGAAAATGTTGCCGTGTAGAACGACGGTGAAAAATTGCGGCTGGTATTAGTCCGAACAATTCCTCGGAGCACTCTCCATGATATCATGATATATGCGAAAGCGAATGCAGAGTGAAGCCACATTTCTACGTTGGATAAAAATCGTTGATCGTTGTATGTGGCTGGTACTGAGGTGCCCCTGCATAGAGATGAGAACAGTATTCCATATGCGGCCGGACTTGCGCCTTGTAGAGCCGACCCCGGTGGGCCGGAGTGAAACACTGCCTGGGTCTGTTCAGCACACCGAGCTTTTTCGAGGTCAATTTAACCTTACTCTCTAAGTGACCTCAAAAGTGGACTTCGCTCGGACTGGTACTTTTTATTATGTTCCACATAATCATTTTTTGCTGGAAATGCAAAGATAAAAAAGTAATGGACTTCTGTACTTAGCATTAATTTACATTAGTTTTGTGATAGTGTTATTAGGTTAGAGACTGTCCACTTGCTACCCATCACATCAACAGCCTGTAATAGTCCACTGCTGGACATAGGCCTCTCCTTAGAAATGAGGCTTTGGCCTACTATACCATGTTGTCGGGTTGATATAGGGTTTGTATCAAGTTTTCCTTCTCTTTGCAGTGCTTTTGTCCTGCAGAGTCTGTTCCTTTAGTCGGCTCTTACGACACCCACGGGATGAATAGGGGTGGTGACACTCCGTATTCTTTATCCGTTACCACACGGACACCGTTGCTACCCATGCATTGCATGCATCCAATGTGATCCGATTCTGGGTAACTGTAGATCTTTTTCCAATTTGTGTTTTAAAGGCTAAATTTATTGTTTAATAGAAAACAGGAGATAGTGGAACAGTGAGCGATAAAACTTGTAGCAATACGACTTAGAAAAATAGTTTTTTGTCTTGCCTTCAGGAAATTATATTTTATAACTAATAAAATTACATCTACCTAAGTATATTACACATTTTTCTAGGTTTAGGTATACACCGCGATAAACTTATTGAAAGACTTACTCATATAAACTCATAAATTTATTACATAAATTAAATGCAGATAATTTATTTTCTTAATTACGCAATTGCGGAAACCATGACTACTTGTTGCTGATATTCGCCTTATTCGAGTAGATAAGAACATATTTGGCAGATTTAAGTTTTGATTTTGATTAACTTTAGGATTTAAGTTTTGATTAAATGATTTTAAAAGACCTAACAATTTAGTAGAACTTAAATTTTCTACGAAAGTGTGTAATGTTAAATATCACTATAGATTTATTATTCGTTGAGGGTTTAGGCCCATAACTGTGTGGTTGGTAGAAAATACTTATCTTGAGACCTGTTATTAATATTATCCTCTATTGTTTAAACTAGTTCAAGTTTTCACCTGAAGCGTGGCTCTAGACCATCATCACCGTTATCACTAGGTGGAAAATGTTGCCTACCTGTGCCTATACCCATAGCTTAAGCACTAATGTTAAACTACTACACTATAATTTTTTCTCGTCTGTGCGGAAATCCGGTCATCCTCCAGCGGTCGTTATGTCGGACATCAACCGACCAAACACCGCAAGCCGTCTCAAGTACCAGCATTCGGGGAACCAGGTGTACCCTAGGAAGGAAATCCCTGGAACATCTACGGCCTGTAAATGACCCCTCGTGTGTGAGAACCACGGTGTTTCCATTCTACAACCTAAAGGGCGCGCGCGCTCCACAGTGCGTGCGACGCCAACCCAGCCTGACTATTATTAACCCTAAAATTAATCTAACATTTAGAGAAGCCGTAGACACATATTACTTTTGTATGTATTAGATCAAAATATTACGCATTATGTAGACATTATTGTACAATACATGGTTTGTATTCCTTAAAATAAATAAATATTAAGACAAATAACGGCGCTGTTTTTGTTTTTTGAAAATTGAGTTTGAAAATTGACTCAAATTTGATCCTAGGTATCGGTGTTAATATTAATTTCGAATGCTGGGCAAGCAGGTTTCGTAATAGGCTTGGTAAATAAAATTATTTCACAAAAAAATATAAATGACGTAGTTTAAGGTAATAACTTAGTTTATTGTATGGCTTTAGAAAGTGCGCGGTAACGGTGTTATCTGTTTTTAGAAATTTCTTCATTTGGATACTTTATGTATACTAAGTATATGTCGGCTTTCGATAACGGAGAATGAACCAAACGGCGCCTTATGATAATATAAAGTGTTTACAAAAACTGTGTAGATTCTATATGATCGATCTTAAGAGTTACTTAGTTTATTGT